ACCCTGTCTCAAAAAAAAAAAAAAAAAAAAACCCAAAACCCTAGTGGGTTTTTTAAACAGTCCTAGAGAAATCATCTAACTTTTGGGCCATCAGTTTTTCTGTCAGACTATCAAGGGCTCTTGAAAGTTTTTCTTTTAGGGTTTAACATATCTTTTTTCTTATCTGTAAAAAATTGTTTGTAGTCCAAGCTTTTGGTGCATGCCTATAACCTAGTGCTTGGAAGGCTGAGGCAGGAGGATCTCCGGGATTCTTTTTTGGGGGGGTTCCCGGGGCTCAAACTCATGACCTTGTGCTTGCCGGGTCAGCACCTATGCTGCTAAGCTAAATCCCTATCCCCTCTTTGGGAGATCTAAGCCAGCTTGCGCTACAAAGCCAGACCCTGTCTCCAAAAAGCAAAAAACAACTTTATAGGAATCATGTTTCTTTATTAAAGAAAATTGAAACAGGAAAATTTTGGAGGTAGGTTTGCGGAGGCTTGAATTCACTATGTGGGCAGGCTTGAATTCAGCTGTGGGCAACTTTAGCCTTCTGAGTACTTTCTTAGGTCTACAGTGTATGCTTCCACTCCAGGTTTTTGTTTGTGCTTTATTGTCCCTACTGACACATTCGTAAGTTTGTTGTGAGACCCTGTCTCAAAAAAACCCAAAAACTTCTCTCATTACGTTGAGCTGTCAAATAACTTAATGCATACATGGTTTGAGTACATCATCATTTGTACAGACTTAGTACATACAGTGGACAGTACCTCAAGTGAAAAAAACCTAAAGAATTAAATTTCTTTTTTTTTTCTTTCTTTGAGCCCAATCCGGGCAATTCAGCAAGACTCTATCTCTAAATTTAAAAAATAAATAAACAAAAAGGACTGAGGACCTTTATTTATAAATAAATAAAAAGGACCTGAGTCCACAGATCCCAGATTCAGAATTGCAAAAAGGAAAAAAAAAAAAAACAAAAACAATTCTAAGCATTTGAAAATGTCACAGTAGCTAGGCTTGGTGGCACACTCCTTGTAATCCCAGCACTTGGGAGGCGGAGGGAGGCAAATTGTTCCAAGTTCGAGACCAGCCTAGGCTACAAAGTAAGCCCAAAGCCAGCCTGAACCAAACAGGAGACACTGTCTCAAAAAAGAAAAAAAAATCATAGTAATACTCAATACTTTCACTTTATATTGATTGTTCCACTAGTAATTACTTGAGAACCATATTTTATATTAAGATGAAGCTGCTAAAAGGTATAGTGCTTAACCAAAAGAAATTAAGCAATGGTGGTACAAAAATAACAGGTGGCAATGTAACATACACGTACAATTCTCTAAAAAAAAAAAAAAAAAAATCAGTCTTTCTTAAACCTCAATGCTTCAGGACTCTAGAACTACAGTCACTTTCTCCTTTATAATTCACTGTACTGTTTTATAGACACATACACATATTTTATATATATATATGTATATATATGTTTCACAGTCATATTAAAACTACATCTTTTTTTTTTTTAAATCTTTTTTATTGGTACTGGGGATCGAACTCACGATAGCCTACTTGCAAGGCACGTGCTTATGCCGCTGAGCTAAATCCCCAGCCCCTAAAACTACATCTTACAACTGTCACCAAGTACTATTTTGTCTTTCCTATTTACTTGAACTAATTCTACATAAAATCAGAGGGAAGATTACTATAAAATTTAGGCCACATACAAAAGCTGACGCTTAGGGCCAGGGATTTAGGTCAGCGGCATACACCTCTGCCTGGCAAGCTTGAGGTCATGAGTTCGATTCCCAATACCAAAAAAAAAAAAAAAAAAAAGCTGACACTTAGAAATTAATTTACTCAGAATTGTAAGTCCATTACTTTTCTGTTCTAAAACAAAACCTAAACTACTAAAAGAAAACAAAACCAAAAAAGAAATCATTAGTGGTTACTGCAGTGAGTTTCCTATATAAAGACATAAGTATACGGTAAATTAGTAAAAAATCATTTTCATTCTTGCATATATAACAAAAACATACACAAAAACATAATAGCTGTGCCACAGATACAGCTCAGTGGCATAAGCACCTGCTTGGCAAGTGCGAGATCCGGAGTTCAATTCCCGTACCAAAACCAAAAAAAGAATGTAATAGCTGTGCAGCTGCTGTATTGTGTATAAAAGAGTAAAAAAAATAAGCAACAATAACCCCTAATGGGACCTATAATCACCATGTAGGATCTGAGTTTCTCCTCCATTAGTTGTAGACGAGACACACAAACCTTAGTCTGACTGGGTTTTATAACCACAACTACTCAGGAGGCTGAGGCAAGTGGATCACCAGTTCTAGGCTTGCCTGGACAACTCAGCCCTGTCTAGAAATTAAAAATAAAAAAGATTGGGGATATAACTCAGTGTTAACAGTGTCCCTGATTTAGGCCCTAGCACTACAAAAATACATATACATACATACAAAACCCCTCAAATCTAATTTTCTAATAACTAATGACTTTGGAGAACTGAACTTACTGTGATCATTTATATTTCATGTGACTACCACAACACATTTATTCACTATTTATTCCCAGTAAATAAGAAAACCTAGGTAAAGGCCAGGCGTTTAGCTCAGCAGCACAAGTACCTGCTGGGCAAGTTGCAAGGTTGTAAGTTCAATCCCTGATACCAAAAAATAAAGAAAACCTAGGTACGTAAAAATTTTACAGATGGTTACTATGGTCAGACTTTAATATCAAGTTTATAATGAGTTCAGTAATAAAAACAGCTGACATTAATGGTATCTGACAAGTGTTAAGAAAATAACATGTTCTTTTTCATTGTTTTGCAGAAAATTAGAAAAAAGGTAAAATTGAAAGATGCCTTTCGTAGGGTGTGGTGGCTCACGCCTGTAATCCCAGCACTTGGGAAGCTGTGGCAGGAGGATTGTTTCGAGTTCGAGACCAGCTCGGGCTACAAAGTGAGCTCAAGGCCAGCCTGAGCTGCTAGCGAGACCCTGTCTCAAAAAAAAAAAAAAAAAAAAAAAGAAAGATGCCTTTCTAGCAGGGCAAGTGATTTGAGCACTCAGAAGGCTAATGCAGAAGGACTATGAGTGGAAGGCCAGCACGGCTATGCAGTGAGTTCAAGACCAGCCCAGACTACAATAGCAAGACTCTGTCTCAAAAAACAAGACATAACAATTTTACAATTAAGTGATCATAAACCATTTGTTTCTGCATCTGTTCATTTATATATTTACTAAGATGTAGCAGTTTGGAACATTTTGCATCCACATCAGTGAAACCAAAGAAGCCCAGTATAGTGGTGCACACCTGTAATCCTAGCACTCTAGGATATTGAAACAGGACGATCACAAATTGAGGCACAGCCCAGGCAATTTAGATGTTATCAAAATTTTAAACGTTTTTTAAAAGGGGGAGAGACCTCGGAAGGAACTCTGTGCAAAAGAACTGGCTCGGTGTAGTTCATACACGGGAAGCCTTTAGAGCCCAAGCGAGAATTTCCCAAGGGTTGTCAAGCAGAATGGGCAACGCGGTCTGGGGATTTAGTTCTGGCTCAAGGGCTTGCCTGGTTAAGTGCAAGGTCATGAGTTCGATCCCCAGTACCAAAAACAAAACAAAATACACAAAAAACCAGAACGCAACTGCATGTATGTCTAAGTGTATAGGATTGATAACCATATTACTAAGTTTTTGTTGGATAGTTGAACAGAACCGTTTGCAGCCGCTGTTTGAATCCCCACTTTGTATGTTTCACTTTTGTATCTTGAACAACTATTTGTAAGAGCACAATATGTAATCAACTACTGATTTCTTACTGTTTATTTTTTCTTTGAAAATATGTATTATGGGGCTGGGGATTTAGCTCAGCGGCATAAGCGCCTGCCTTGAAAGCAGGCAGTCGTGAGTTCGATCCCTGGTACCGATAAAAACGAAAAAGACAAAAAAAAAAAAAAATGTATTATTTCTACCCGTTTTGTTTAGTCTTTCTTTAAATAAAATTAAAAAAAAAAAAAAAACCAGAACCGTATTAACACTAATTCTGCCACTTCTTAGTTATACTGGCAGACGCTTTAAATCTAAGTAGCTACTAAGAAAAAAAAGAAAAAAGGAAGAAAATTTCTCAAAAGATTTGAGGCATCCAAGATGCACTAAAAAAATGACTAGCTCCACTGAAATTTTCTTCTACTTTATGACTATCCACAAATCACAGTGATAATTATAGCAAGATTTAGCGGGAGCAGTTCTGGTTTCCCTTATCCTTATGCACATTAATTTTGGCTATCTTTATAACGGAGAAGTACAAGAAGATCATACACTGAAGGCAAGTTAACCCTAGTGTAACACACCCCTTCCTCCTCCTCCTCCTCCCGAGACACCCGATTACCATATGCCACATACACACTCTACTGCACCCTGAAAGTTAGTTCCTGGAAGACGGAAACCTGTGCTCTCTGCAACTCGCTCACGATTTTCTCTGCACACACCGTGTCTACCCCGTCGCGCAAACAGCTCTACGGGGACACTCGGTCGGGGCCAATGAATGAGTGTTAGCAATCACCCCCTCCTTCCAGTGCCTCCATTTCCCTTTCCGAATACACAAGCCGGTAACAGAAGGACGAGGGTCTCCCGAGGCCCGGAGCGGACCCGGAGCCCTGCGGACCCGGAGCCCTGCGGACCCGGAGCGCCAGGGAACGCGCCGGCCATCAGAGCCGAGGGCCCCGCGACACCCACGGCGGGTCCGTCGCAGAGAAACCGGTCCGTGCCCGGGTCCGGCTGGTTGTGGATGGGGTGCGGGTGGACACGACGAGAGGGGCCCGGGCCAGGCCCCGCGGATCTCCCGGGAGCCCGGCCCAGGGCGAGGATGAAAGAAGGAGCCCCGAGACCCGGCGAGGCGCCGGCTGCAGACCCTCGGGGCGGGGCTGCTCGGCGCCAGCGCCAGCACCAGCACCAGGCCGGCCGCGGGCAGAGGAGCCAGCGGGGCCCGGGCCCGGGAGTCCGGGGCCTGGCGCGGGTCTTACCATGGCGAGTGCGGCAGTGGGGCGCTCCCGCTCCACTGGGGCTAGGGCTGGGGTCCGGGGAGGGGGAGCAGCGGCCGCCTTGGACCTGCTTCCCCCGTGACAGGAGCCGCTGTAGCTTCGCCTCTTCCCAAGATGGCGGCCCAGAGCCACGTCTCCAACCGGAAGCAGCGCGGGTCAAAGGGCGGGGGCGGGGCTGGCGGGTGGGAAAGCAGGGGTCGGGGATGCGGTGCCGGGCGGACTGGCGATGTACCGGCGCCTGCCACTGATGGGAACCTCAGCCTCTGTCTTTTCACTGTTCGTCGTCCCCTAAATTGTTTTTTTTTTTTACTCGTTATCTCAGTTTACAAAAAGCACTCTCGCAAACAGCGGTGATGTAAGTAATAAAACAAGATAATGAGTGAATATTTAGAGATTAGGATTCAGACTATATAAAGAATTCTCACAAACTAACAATAAAAAAGACAGCTCGATCTAAAAATGGACAATAGATCTGAATAAGCTTTTATCGAAAAAGATACACAATGGGGCTGGGGATTTAGCTCAGCGGCATAAGCGCCTGCCTGGCAAGTGCGGAGTCACAAGTTCATTTCCTGATACAAAAAGAGAAAAGAAAAAGAAAAGATGCACAAGTGGCAGGTAAGTCCTTTATAAAAATAGTGTAACATCACCAACCATTAGGAAAATCAATACACCCGTGATAACTATCCAGAATCTATAATAATAGTGCTACTCACATTCACTATAGTAATAATACTTTGACAAGAATATGGAGAAATTTGGGCTGGGGATTTAGCTCAGCGGCATAAGCACCTGCCTTGCAAGCAGGCGGTCGTGGGTTGGATCCCTGGTACCGATAAAAAGATAAAAAAAAAAGATTAAAAATTACAGAAAAGAATATGGAGAAATTAGGGGCTGGAGATTTGGCCCAGTGGCATAAGCGCCTGCCTAGCAGTCACAAGGTCATGAGTTCGATCCCTGGTATCAAAAAAAAAAAAAGAATATGGAGAAACTAGAAACCTCATAAATTGCTGATGAGAATGTAAAATAGTCCAGCCACTTTTCTGGAAAACAGTTTTTCAGTTCCTCAAAAATTAAACCTAAAGTTAACATATGACTCAGCATACACTATTAGTAGGTACCTACTCAAGACAATTGAAAATAAATGTCAGCACAAACCACATCATGGCTGTACCCCTAGAATCTCTGGAAGCTGAGACAGGAGGATCATACCGTTGAGACCAACCTGAACAATTTAACAAGATTCTGTCTCAAAATTAAAAAACAAGACAAAAGAAGAATTGGGTTAGGATATAGGTTAGTGCGAAGACCCTAGGTTTTATCCTCGACAAATGTGTGTATGTGCAAAAATGTATTCTCCAACGTTCACAGCAGCATTATTTATAATGGACAAAAATGAAGTAATCCAAGCAAATCCATTAACAGAATAATGGACAAACACAATATAGTATAGTCACTTTCTGTGCAGCCCAGACAGGAGTCCGTACAGCGTTGTTCTTGATTCCCATGTAACTTAACAGGGAACTTTCATAATGTCCGGAGCCCTTGATGTCCTGCAAGTGAAGGAGGAGGACGTTCTCAAATTCCTTGCTGCAGGAATCCACTTAGGTGGCAACAACAAAAACAGAGCCATGAAATTGAATATTACTATTATAAGGGGCTGGGGATTTAGCTCAGCGGCATAAGCGCCTGCCTTGCAAGCAGGCAGTTGTGAGTTTAATCCCTGGTACCGACAAAAAGGAAAAAGACAAAAAAAAAAAAAAAAAGAAAAGAATATTACTATTTTGGTGCCGGGTACTGAAGTCACGACCTTGAGCTTGCCAGACAGGTGCTTGTGTCACTGAGCTAAAGCCCCAGCCTGAAATTGAAGTTGAATATTATTTAGTCAGAAAAAGAAATAAAGTACTGACATAGACCACAACCTGGATTAACCATGCTAGGTATTAAAATATGTTAGATAAAAAAAGCCAGATGCAAAATGACACATCTCCTATGGCCCACTTACATGAAATGTCCAGAATAGGCAAATCCTTACAAATAAAAAGGAGATTAGTGAGTTCATGGGATTAGAACTGGCTGGTACTGGTTGTGAGATTTATTTTTTTGAGTAAACAAACTGTTCTGAAAGTAGACAGAAGAAAATATTCTGAAAACCACTGAACCGTATACTTTAAGAGAGTGCTTTGTTTTGTTTTACAGTACTGAGATCGAATCTAGGGCCTTCATAGCAAGCTGCGTCCCACCTCCCCACCTCTTTTTTTTTTTTTTGTCTTTTTCTTTTTTATCGGTACCAGGGTTTGAACTCACGACCACACACTTGCAAGGCAGGTGCTTATTCCGTTGAGCTAAATCCCCAGCCCCCTCTTTTTATTTTTTGAGACAGGGTCTCACTAAATTACCACACTGGCTTCTAACTTGAAATCCTCCTGCATCAGCTTTACTGAGTGCTGGGATTGCAGGTGTGCGGCATCACACCCAGCTAAAAGCAAGAATTTTTAATGGCTTATAAGTTACATGTTTAAAACCCAGGTGACAAATACAAGCCCAGCCGGGGCAACTTAGGGACTTAGTGAGACCCTGTCTCACGGCAAAAAATAAAGGGGTTGAAGGTAGAGCTCAATGCCAAAACCCTGAGTTCAGTCCCCACACTAGAAGCCAAAGAAGACAAAACAGAACAAACAACCAAAAGCATGCAAGGCTGGTGACACAGCTCCGAGCCAGCGCTTGCCTGGTGTGCTCCGGCCCTAGGTACAACACTCAAACTGTAAACAAACCATTGTCCTAGGGGCAGACAGCTCACCTTACCATGTCACTGTTTTTGCTGAAAACACAGCTCTTAGCGATCTTAAACCCTGCACCAAATTTAGTGTAACAAAAGGCAGGATAAGAAAATGCGGTTTACTGGGCAGAAAAGATGGAAAAGGAGGAGGAGAGAGGTGGTAGGGACCATCAGAGCTGAAAACCCAAGAGTTTTTGTTCGTGTTTTAATTTTTTAAAATTTAATTAAATTTTTTTTTTTTTTTTTTTGAGACTAGGTCTCCCTGTGTAGGTCAGGCTGGCCTTGAATTTGTGGCAGGCCTCCGACCCGGACCAGCTGCTGGGATTATAGGTGTGCACCGCCACGCCCAGCTAGCCCATAAACTTTTTTTTTGTACCAGGAACTGAAATTGGAATTTGTGCTTGCCGGGAGGATGCTGTGCCACTGATCTGTATCTCCAGCCCGTAAACTCTTAGCCCTGGCTCTTTTTACTGGAGACTTCTGGGTTTCTCATTCTCCAAGTGGGCACTGGTCGATATTTGATTTTTTTTTTTTTTTTTTACTGTTTTTGACCTCAGGCATGTCTGGCCATTTTTTTGTTTGTTTGTAATAAATAAGTGAAAGGGGAGAGCCTATTAGGAAGGCAGCTTATTTACTGATTAAGCAAAGGGGATGTGTGTACATGTGTGTATCTGCTGTAATACTTATATTTAACACCGAGAACATACATATGTATAGGTGTAGGGATGTGTGTGCGTGTGTGCGTGTGTATGTGTGTATGTGTGTGTGTGTGTGTGTGTGTGTGTGTGTGTGTGTGTCTTATATATTAAATAAGAGTCCTAGGGGCTGGGGCTCACTCAGTGGCACAAGCAATTGCCTAGCAAGTGTGAGCTTGTGAGTTTGATCATCCATACAAAAAAGAAAGAAAGAAAAAAAGAAAGAAAGAAAATAGTAGAAAAAAAAACAAAAAAAACAACAAACAGTCCTTAGGGGCTCTTTCTTCCTCACATTCTGTCGGGTGGGTGAGGGGAACTGGCTTTTTCGGTCTTTAGATTTTTGGGTCTTTTAGTATTAACTCTTTTTGGTAAACTTTTATGGTATTTGTGTTATCTGACGCCTCCCTCAAGTCCAGCTTTTCTCTCCGTTCTCTTTTCAGTTGCCCTAACTGCAGAGTCTGTCTGTGAAGGCAGAAACTGTTTTGGTTATTATTTTATTTTATTTTTTGTCTTTTTGAGACAGGGTCTCCCTATGCAGTCTGGGCTGGATTTAAGCTCACTTTGTAGCCCAGGATGGTCTTGAACTCACAACAATCCTCCTGCCTCAGCCTCCCGAGTGCTGGGATTACAGGTGTGAGCCACCACACCCGGCTCAGAGACTTTTTTTAGTAAAATTTTCTATTGATCTTTTTTTGGTATTGATCTTAAGAAAGTTCAGTGAGGCCTTTATCTTTTTTTTTTTTTTTAAGATTTTCATTTAATTGGTCTACGTGTGATCTGGGTATCAAGACTTTTCATTTTATTTATTTATTTTTTGTCTTTTTGAAACAGGGTCTCAGTATGCAGTTCAGGTTAGCCTTCAGCTTACTTTGTAGCCCAGGCCGATCTCAAATTTGCAAATGATTCTCCTGCTTTAGTTTCCTGAGTGCTGGGATTACAGGAGTGCGTCACTACGCCTGGCTATCTTATTTTTTTCCTTTCTTTTATTTTTTTGTTAACCTACGGGGCCCCTGACTCTATAAAAGAAAATCTAAAACCCCCAAGAAACCCATGTACAACAAGAAGGAAGTCATAGTTCTTACGTCTATTGTGCATATGAACAAAATGATGACAAGCTTAAACAAGTTATCCAAAGTTTCTAGACTAATAAATAATGGAATCAGAACTCAAATCTGGTCTTTGGAGGTTTTTGTTGTTTGTTTGTCTGCGGTGCTGGAGATCTACCCCGGGGCTTTACACACATGCTAGGCTATCCCTCTACCACTGAGTTACTTCTTTTAGTTCTTTTGGGAGTTCAACTCATGCTAGATTTCTGGCTTTTCAGAGAATAATTGATTCAGTAGTTCGTTCCCATATCATATTATCATTTTATCTCATATCCTGGGCTCAACCCTACAGTATTATATATATATATATAATATTTATATTGTTTTGTTTTGGTATCAGCAATCAAACTCAGGACCTTGCAGGCAGGTGCTGCACCACTGAGCTCAATCCCCAGCCCCTCATCCGTATTAACTACAAGTCTGCAGTGAAAGATAAGAGCAAATCTTTTGTTGAGTGCGTATTTTGTGTCAGATACTTTACACATCTTATCTATAATCTTTACAACAATGCAGACGAAGACCCAGAGCCTTAAAGAAGGTAAGCACAGTAGATGACAGAGCCAGGGCTCCAAATCCAGCTTTCTTGTTATTATACGTTGCCTTTCTCTTGATCTTCTGTGTATTTCTTAACATTTCATGAGATACTTACAAGGTACCAGGCATTATTCTAATTTCTTCACATGGGTTGGCCCATTTATTCTCACAAGAATCCTCTCCATTATTCTCTCTTTTACCCAATCTAAACATAGACAACAGCTTCGAATCGCCCTTGAACCCGAGGCTTTTGCATTGAACTACTCCACTTCCTCGCCACCACCCCACTTTCTTTCTTTTCACGTTGAGCCTGGACTGGGTCTCCTAAATTGCTAAGTTGCCCAGGCTGAGCTCAAACTTGTGATCTTCCTGCTTCAGCCTCCCACGGCGCTGGGATCACATGTGTGCATCATTGTGGTTGGCTCTGAGCTTGCTAAAGAGTCTAGTGAAGACCACTGGACAAGGAGGCACAGAGGAGAATTATCCTACCAAAGTGCTCATAGCTAGGAATAAAGCCAGATTCGAATGAACCTGTTGGACTTCAGAGCTCGTACCTTTAAGCACTGCATTACAGACCTGCTATTCCCAATCATGTCCATTCCAGCTCCACTGGCCTTACAGAGTAGCCACCAAGCAAGAACATAGGATGACAGGTGAGCCAAGTACTGGCTGGTTGAGACTGGCATTTTTTAATTTTAAAAGTTTTTTTGGGTCTTTGTTTTTCTGGTACCGGGGATCAAACTCATGACTGTGTGTTTGCAAGGCAGGCACGTATGCCACTGAGCTAAATCCCCAGCCCCTTTTTTGATCTTTTTAACACAAGGTTTCACTATGCAGTTCAGGCTGTCCTTGAATTCACTTTGAGCCCAGGCTGGCCTCAAACTCACACATTGATCCTCCTGCCTCAGCCTCCTGAGTGCTGGATTACAGGTGTGTAACCACCATGCCTGGCTAATAAGGTGACTTTATAAAAATCGAGAATAGGGCTGGAGATTTAGCTCAGCGGTATAAGCGCCTGCCTTGAAAGCAGGCAGTTGTGAGTTCGATCCCTGTTACCAATAAAAACGAAAAAGCCAAAAAAAAAAAAAAATCGAGACTAGTTGGGGCTGGGGATTTAGCTCAGCGGCATAAGCGCCTGCCTTGCAAGTAGGCAGTCGTGGGTTTGATCCCTGGTACCGATAAAAAGGAATAAGACAAAAAAAAATTGAGGATAGTTGTTACTAGAGGCTGGAGAAAATAGAAGGTCAAGAAGAGAGGAAAAAATACTACTCCAGGATTCTAAATTACAGGTAGATAACAGAAATGAGTTCTAGTATCCTATTTTTTTTTTTTATTTTTTTTATTTTTTTTTTTTCTAGTATCCTATTTTACAATAGGGTGACTATCAATAACAGTAATATACCATTTGTATTTTCAAAAGCTAAAAGAAAAAGGCAGACATGGTGACCGTGCCTGTAATCCCAGCACACTGAGGCTAAGGCCAGGGAATCACCTGGAGTTCAAGGTCAGTCTGGACTGCAGAGGGAGAGTCTGTCTAAAAAAACAGAAAAAAAAGAGTTTGAATCTTTTTACCACAAAGAAATAATAAATGTTTAAGGTAATAGTTATGTTTACTCTGATTTGAACATTATACAATATATACATGTATGGAAATACCGCATGGTGCCCCATAAACCAGTTTTTGTGTCGATTTAATTTTAATTGTTTTGGTTCTGGGGACTGAGCAAGGGACACATACTAGGCAGGTGCAGTCCCACCGCCTTACTGAACTACATTCCCAACCTCCACCCTGTTTTTGCTTTGTTTTGTTGTTTGGGCCAGGAGCTTGCTACGCTCCAGGCTGACCTGGAATTCACTGTATACCCCCCGCTGGCCTCCAGAGGATCCTTCTGTCTCAGCTGGGAATGACAAGCATGTGCCACCATAATTTGCATTTTTTCGAGGCGGTCTCTGGTTGAATTGCTCAGGCTGGCCTCAGACTTGTAGCACACCTCCCACAGCCTCCTGAGCAGCTAGGATTACAGGTATGTACCACCCCTGTTTTGTTTTGCGTTTTTAACTTTCTAAAAGAGATATTTGTTTCCTTTGCTTTTTTCTTTATCTTTAGGAGACAGGGTCTATTAGTTCAGACTGATCTTAAACTCACTGTGTAGTCCAGGCTGGCTTCCAACTGGCAGCAATCTTCTTGCCTCAGCCTCCCAAGTCCTGGGATTACAACGATGTGCCACCATGCTTCTAATTTTCTTTTTAAAGTCACTTTTCTTGTCATCTTCTGGCTTGTTTTCTGTGTCAAATTTCTTTTCTTTTCTTTTTTTTTTTTTTTTTTTTTTTTTGTCTTTTTCCTTTTTATAGGTACCAGGGATCAAACTCACGACTGCCTGCTTGCAAGGCAGGCTCTTATGCCGCTGAGCTAAATCCCCAGCCCCTCTGTGTCAAATTTCAATTACACTAAGCTTCTTTATCCCTGACCTCTAAAATTGTCTGTAATTCAAAAATATTTGTCCCTGGGGCTGGGGATTTAGCTCAGCGGCTTAAGCGCCTGACTTGCAAGTAGGGAGTCGCGAGTTCGATCCCCGATACCGATAAAAAAGAAAAAGACAAAAAAAAAATTTGTTCCTTACCTCTTTATTCATTTATTCTTTGACTGACAACCCAAGGGGCATTTTTTTCTATTTTAAAGATTGTTAATACACTTCACATCAGTCTGTCCGGTTCATTTCAGCTCCTTTACTGCCAAACCCGGGGGCAGGGACTGCTTCCCTTTCTCTGCCTTCTCCTTGGCTGTTCTTCCTTGTTTTTAGAGATTTGACATCCTTCCACTTATCTGTGAGAAGAAAATCCTCAATTCCCTCCATTTTTTGAGGCAGGGGGGCCAGCTCTGTGCAAACTGCTACCACCAGCGAGACACAGTCCAGTGAGTTTTTAAAAAATAACTAATTTGGGGCTGGGGATTTAGCTCAGTGCCATAAGCGCCTGCCCTGCAGGTGTATGGTCGTGAGTTCGATCCCCAGTCCCGATAAAAAAGGAAAAAGACAAAAACAAAACAAACAAACAAACAAACAAACAAAAAACCCTAATTTATTCAAGGCACTGGCAGTAGAATTTAAAAATTAAATGGACACATCCTGTCTTAAGCTCACAGTCTTCCTTAGCAAATAAAAATACAGAACAGAGTTAAATTTGAATCTCAGATAAACCAGGAATAATTTCTTAGTGTAAGTATGTCCCATGCAATGGACACGGTGACGGGGAAGGACTGTAATTTAAAAAGTGGTTGCAAGAGTCAGGTGTGGTGGAGCACACCTGTAATCCCAGTGCTCGGCAGGCTGAGGTAGCTGGATCATTGCGAGTGCGAGGCCAGCCTGGGCTACAGTGGACTCAAGACCAGCCTAAACTGCATAGCGAGATCCTATCTCAAAAAGACAAAAAAAAAAAGTGGTTGCAATTGTCCCTGAGAGGATGTCCAAATACTGATTAAACTGATACAGGGAAACTGCAGGCCCAGTGATGCTTGCCCTAAGGGGAAAAAACCGTTTCGTTTGGAAGGTCACCAACGGGCTTTGCTCGCTTCGACCACCAGGTGGCACAACAGACTCATGTACTAAACCATAGACAAACAGGCGACTTGGCCGCCCAGAGAGCCTAGAGAAGCTGTATCCGCGCCGTCTTGCTTTTCCCGCACCTAGAGAGCCGACGCTGGAAGAAGCGTTACTAGCGGCTGCATGCAGATCTCGCGATAGTAAACCCGAGTCTCGCGACTTTTTTCTTGTTTTCTTGGCGACGGAGAACGGGCTAGTTTCTCCAAGTTAGAGCCCTCAGGTGGTCTGGCCAGACACTGGAGTGGGACCCCCTCTGCCGGGGTTCTTTCCATTTAGCGGAGACGGATTCAGAGGAGCTCCAGGTAATTCGTACTCACTTCGCAGAGAGGGAACTGCCGTCCGCCCTCTCAAGAGGACTGCTCCTGCCCCTGCTCATTCGCCTCTTCGCTCCATGATAGCTCTTCTCCCCTCTCCCCTCCCAGCACCAAATTCCTGCTACTTTTACTCCCCAAGCAACTTAAATTAAATCCGATCAGCAAACTGGATGGAGATGGGTGATACTTTCGATATTATTAGGTGAGACCCAGAGGGAGACTGAGGTTTGCCCTGTCTTCGGCACACCCGGTTTCCGGTCCCCGACCCCAGAGACAACTCTTATTAAACCTCTACAGTTTCCAGTGAGAAACCTCATCGACTTTGAGAAAACTAACGTAAGCTGAAGGGAAAGGTATCGTCTACGTAGAAAGACAGTTTTGGAAGAGCTGTGGGAAGGCTAGCTGTCTTTTCCATCCATGATTCCCAGCCAGTGGGCCGGCAGAGCCTCGATGAAGGCTGCTGCACAATGGTTTAACTGCTGGGCTTGAGGCCAAGCAGGCGTCGGAGATGTTTGGATGGGGATAAAGATATTATGGAAAACTGGCATCTTAGGTGAGGAAGGGGAACCCATGCTTGTGTCAGAGTGCTGAATGTGTGTCCCATGGTAAGAGCTAAGTAATCGCATCTCCTTTTGCTTAGACCAAGATTGTTGAAAACCAGACGTATGATGAGCGGCTAGAGATTAATGACTCTGAGGAGGTGACGACTATTTGTACTCCAACCCCAGGACGCCAAGGTAAGAGGACGAAAAGCGAAGAAGAGAAATAGTCCCCCAAAACTGAGCAAGGTGGATTCCCATTTGGTTTCAATAGGGTCAGATTTTATTACAGTATATGTAATAGTACAGCTAACTTTCAGAGTCAAGTTCCTCCACTTGTCATTGGTCCTGTTCTGTTTAAGGAAGGAGGGAACGTCACAGCTTGCCAGACTGCAGGATCTTCCTTCTACTCGGTGTTACCTTTGCATGTTACTGCTCTGCTCACAGTCTCAAAGGGGATCCTGGTTTTGTTTTTATTTATGGTGCTAGATGTCCTCCTTCCTGTGTGATGGATAAGCAAGCCCCCTGTCACTGAGCTACACCCCCAGTCCCTGTTTTATACCCCCAGACCCTGTTTTTTTGTTTTTGTCTTGTACGTGGCATGTGTGTTGTTTGCAATCCTGAGAATCACAAGGTCCCCAACCTGGCTCAAATTTGTGATCCTCTTGCCTCACCCCTCCCAGGGTGCTGGGATTATAGCTGTGGGTCACCATGCCTGACTTTTTTTTTTTTTTTTTTTAACTCCTTCAAATCTATTTTATTCAAGGGTAAAAAGAAAGAAAAAAAGAAAAAAACAACAAAATTTCAAAACATCAATGGGGCAACAATGGGTATACATTGCACATTGTCATCCCTAAATCATTCATTTTTTTAACTTATCAAAAATGTATTTTACTGTATTTCACTCAGCTTCTACTTTACCCTGCAACTCCAGTCAAAATCTCAATATTTTTAGAGAACTTGATACCATTCATTTATTCAACAAACTTTTTTTCTTTTTTGAAAGTGTTCTCCCTATTTGCAGACTGGTCTTGAACTCCTGGGTTCAAGTGTTTTCCCATACCTCAGCCTCCTGTAAACATACATGCCATCACACCTAGCTTAAACATTTTGAGTACCTACTGTGTGCCTTGCCAGCCTTATGCCTGGCACTGGATATAAAGTGTTTAAACAAAAGATACATTGTCTCTGTCATCCTGATACTTACAATCATGGGAGACAGATAGCAGTAAACAAACATAACTATAAATGTGAAAAGTGGGTGATGGAATCAAAGTGTGTATTATGGAGAATAAGGATAAGAAAGAAGACCTGTTGTTTATAGAGTGGTCGGGGAAGGCTAAGGAGAAAGATTAGCCTATGGGAGTAGGGGGTGATATATGGTCAGTAAGCAGGAAGCTAACAAGCAGGGCTTTGGAGGCCCTGTTGCTGGTGTGTGTGGACTGGATTGAAAGGTACAAAGGTGACAGTGGAGAAGGACTGGCCATGGCTCAGTTTAGATGATGGTGGTTTGGACTGCAGTGAGGAAATCAAGAAGGGAATGCTGGGCATGGTGGTGCACGCCTGTAATCCCAGAACTTGGAAGACTAAGGCAGGAGGATCGTCGCAAGTTCAAGACCAGCCTGGGTTACAAAGTGAGCTCAAGTCTAGCCTGAACTGCATAGCAAGGCCTGTCTCAAAAAGTCAAAAAAAAAAAAGAGAGAGAGAGAGACAAGAGACAAATGAAAGATAGACTATAGAATCTAACTTATATTATGTTGTATATTATTCTATTATGCTGTAGAATCTAACTTGCTGGAGCATTGGGTTTGACTTCTGGGGCGGCGTGGTTTGAGACAGGGTCTTTTGTCTTTTGAGACAGGGTCTTGCTGTATAGTTCAGACTGGTCTTCATTTCACTGTGTACCCCTGATTGGCCTCAAACTTGTGGTGATCCTTCTATGTCAGTCTCCTAAGGACTGGGGTTACAGGCCCATACATGGCAGGATTCGATTTTGAGTTAGGATTCAAAGGTGACACGGGATTTTTGAGTATTTGTAGTAAAATACACATACCATAAAATTTATCATTTTAACTTTTTTTTAAAATAGAGTATCTCTATGTAGTCCACACTGGCTTGAACTCACCATATAGCCCAAACTGGCCTTGAACTCACAGCAGTCCTCCTGCCTCAGCATCCCAAGTGCTGGGATTACAGGCGTATAATCCCCTACAATTGTAACCTTTTTTTGTTTACTTTTTAAAACCATTTCAAGTGTAAATTAAATGGCATTAAGTACACTCACAGTGTTGGGTAACCATTATCACTGTCTATTTCCAGAACTTTTTATCATCACTACAGAAACTGATACGTACTAAAAACAGTAAGCGTATGTCTATTAAACAGTAACGTCCAATTCTTCTCCTGCAGTCCCTAGCAATCACTAGTGTACTTTGTCTCTGTGAACTTGCCTGTTCTGGGTATCTCATAAGAGAAATCAAACTGTATTTGTCCTTTTTTGGCTGGTTTATTTCATACAGCACAGTGCTGCAGCTTCCCTTATGTCATACTGTACATCAGAGTTTTATTCCCTTTTAAGACTGAATAATCCACTGTTTGGCTACACTATATTTTGTGTATCTATTTGTGTGTTGGTAGAGCCTAGGATTATTTGTACCTTTTGACTATTGCCAGTAATGCTCCTGTGACCAGAGTATATGACTGTCTGTTGAGTTCCTGCTGAGTTCCTGCTGTTTTGTGGATATACATGTAGCCACTAGGCTTTTTTTTTTTTGCTACATGCTCATGTCAGCCATAAACATAATTTGTTTAGCTAATTTAGTAAGTCAAAAAATTGATGTTTAATTTGCATTATTTGATTCAGAAGTCATTTAACATGTTTTCATGCCAGTTAATACCCTGCATCTAATTATATTTTCAATTGTTCAATATATATATATATTTTTTTTTTTTTGTCTTTTTTGTTTTTATTGGTACCAGGGATCGAACTCACGACTGCCTGCTTGCAAGGCAGGCACTTATGCTGCTGAGATAAATCCCCAGCCCTGTTCAAAATATTTTATTGCTCTTTGAAATTTTTTTTTTTTTTTTTTTTTTTTTTGAGACAGAGTCTCACAATGTAGTTCAGGCTGGCCTTGAACTCATAATGTAGCCCACGCTGGCCTCGAATTTATAGAGATCCTCCTGCTTCAGTGTCTTTAAGTTCTGAGATGACAGGCATGCACTACCAAACCCAGCCCTATTTTGTTGTTTGTTTTACACATATGGATTACAATTTATGGCTGTTATTTGCCATGCTCTAGAGAAGTCAGTTTCATGTAAACCTTCTCAATTGAGCCTTGCAGCAGTCTTGGGTGAGGAAGAGTACTGATCCCGTAGAGGTAGGAATAAGGAGCCCAGAGGCTGTCATTTGCCCATAGAATTGCCCTTCCAGCCAGGCTTCTCACTGTCGCTCCAGCATTCTTTTCATTTGTCTTTTTAGACAGGGTCTCACTCTGAAATTCAGGCTGGCCTTAAGCTCACTTTGTAGCCCAGGCTGGTCTTGAACTTGCAGCAATCCTCCTGCCTTGGCCTCCCAAGTGCTGGGATTACAGGTGTGTGCCACCACATCTAGTTTTGATCCAGCATTCTTTTTACTTTGCTAGTGATTAGCATTTTTTTAATCAAGGGGTAAATTAAGGGCACAGTTTATACTATTTACATACTAGCATATTACGTAAATCAGTTGTATAATTTCTAACCCAATGCCTAAAGTACAGTAATGTTTAGTAATTATATCTTGCATTGAGTTGACAAAACTATGACTAGAATTCAGTTTCCTGTTCTCTACTTTGATGTCCTTATGAATCCTGTTTTATAAAACAGTCAAAGTAGGCCAGGCATAGTGGTGCATGCCTGTGTTCCCAGCGCTTGGAGGCTGAGGCAGGAGGATCACCACGAGTTTGAGGCCAACCTAGAGCATGTAGTGAGTTCAAGGCCAACCTGAACTACATAGCAAGACCCTGTTTCAAAAAACAAAATAAAAGAAAGATTAAAGCACATGATATAAGCTGAACATGTTTTCCTTTGAAAGTCATTGAAACAATAACCTAGAGTCAAAACGTTTCTTTTAAGGACTTCTTCATTCTGCCCGTCTTCCCACCAAGACTATGGCTGATAACTGCAGTGATGAATTTGAAGAGGAAAATAACAAGGTGCAGTATAACCCACAACTTCTCATAGAATTGTACTTTTAGGCAACACCAACTCAGCAGGAAACACTGCTGCACACTTAGCTCCAGGACTTGGGTTCCCTTGACTCATGGAGGAAGAGTAGGAACCAGGCGCCTTGAGGTCTTGAAATATTTCAGAAAGCATCCAGCCGCCTGGCCCTTTCCTGAACTGGGGATCAAACCCAGGGCTTTGGTATGCTAGGCAAGCACTGAGGGCTGAGCCACATCCCTGACCCAGCCCTGGCTTACAGCTGGCTTTTTGGTGAGAAAATTCATAAAGTAGACCAGTGTTTTCACATACTTTACTAACCATAGGAATCAACTGGAATTCTTTATTTTTGGTGTTGGAGATTGAACCCAGGGCCTCGTGCATACTAGTCAAGTACTCTACCACCCGTTCTATCCGAGCCCTTTGGAGACTTACCTTTAGAAATACAGATTCCCAGTCCCCATCCAGAAACTCAAAGATGAAAGCCTGGGAATTTAGATTTTTAGTAAGCATTTCTTGTGATTCTCATTCTGAGTGATTGGTGTAGGCATGTTTTTCACTGTCAAACCTATGATACTGACAATATTTTGAGAAAGACATTTTAATTTTAAGTCTTACACAGGTGAATGGCCCTAGCTAAGCGGGAGTCGCACATGCGCTCAGAGCAACAGCCATTTGTGTTCAGCCTCAGCAGGTGGCCCAGGGGTTACCCTTGTCCTTTAAGACCAGGAGCTGTGAGCTGAAGGTGATGGTGCACACTCATCATCCCAGCATTTTGGAAAACAGGCAGGAGGATTATAAGTTTAAGCCCAGTTTGGTAACTTAGTGATTAAGCAAGAACTTGTTTCAAAAATAAAAATTTTAAAAAGGGCTGAGTTATAGGTCATTGCAGAGGTTCTGAATTCAATTCTCAGTACAAACAATTTTTGATGTATTGTTTTGTGCTAATAGCTGCTTTACCATAAGTGAAACAGTTTAAAAAACTGAAACCAGTATATGCCAGGTAGCACAGGGAGATCCAGCTTTTTTCTTGTTTTATTTTGAGACAGGCTCTCCCTGTGTACTGTAGTTCGGGCTGGCCTTGAACTCATAATGTAGTCCTACTGGCTTCAAACTCATGGATCTTCCTGCCTCAGCCTCTAGAGTGCTGAGATGGCCACCATGCCTGACTTAACTCAAGCTTTTAAAACCTATTTTTAAACTTAATAAAATACAATCTATTTTTAAAGGGGGCCAATTGGTCATTCTTCACATCCTAAGAGAGGGCATGCTACAGGCTCAGCTTTGCAAAGACATAGACCCTGTCTGATCTATTATGCTTGCAATTCAGTTGCAGCCAGAATCATGAACCAAATTCTGTAACCAGAATCGTGGGAAGAATTAAATTCATGAGCCAAGGAATTGCTGTATTTAGAGTTGTCATCCTCTTGAAAAGTCCCTGACTTCAGGGTTGAGTCTGTCTAGATAAAGCTTATGCAGAACTGTCAGAGTCTCCCAGTTGACAGGTCCAGTAGGTTTCATTTGGATACAATTTGTTCCTTAGCCTCAAGTAGGGTTCAGAAGGTGGAGACCCCTGTTGTAACTGAGCGGGAGCAGAACACAAGAAGGCTCTTGGCCCCCTTCTGGGAAGTGTCACCTTCCCTTTCTGCGACAGGGCCCGGGGAAAGGGCCAGAGCTGGGCCCAGCACATTACACCTTCTGTCTCTGAGCCCTTCTCCCCTATCTTGCCCTACCCAGGAAAAGAAGAAGACCTCACAGCTGACACCTCAGCGGGGCTTTAGTGAAAATGACGATGACGACGATGACGACGACTCCTCTGAAACTGACTCTGAGGAAGACGATGATGATGAAGAGCATGGAGCCCCTCTGGAAGGGTGAGCGGAGACCCTGAGTACACGCAAGCCAGGGGAATAGACCGTGCCTACGTACATCTCAAACTCATACAGCCAGGCTTGGTGGTGCACGCGTGTAATCTCAGCACTTAGGAGGCTGAGGAAGGAGGTGGCCGTGACTTGGAGCCCAGCCTACGTGGGCTACATGAGGGAGTTGAAGGCCAGTTTGGGCTACATATTGAGAGCCTGTCCCAAAGAAAGAAACTCAGGAATCAGTGCTTATTCCTTTCTGGCTCCACTGTCTCAGTCCTGTAATGTCACTTAAAATAAAAAATTGCAAAACCAGGCCTAGTAGCACATACTTGCAATCCCTGTACTCTGAGAGGCCATGGCCTCTCTGAGAGGAGGATCGTAAGTTTGAACCCAGCCCAGGCAATTTAGTGAGACCCTGTCTGAAAATCAAGGTAGAAAAAAGGCTGAGTAGCTTAGGGTTCAATCTGCAGTACCACAAAAAGTAAATAAAAATTTAAAACAAACATTAATTACAATATATTTAATAACAGTTAAACAGTTTTCGTAAGTCCACCTTCGAATTTCATGTATCCTTGAGCCGGAGCATGGTGGTGCTTAGCAGGCTGAGACAGGAGGACTGTCAGAAGTTCAAGGCCAGCTTGGACCACGTAGCATGACCCTGACTCAAAAGACCAAGAACATCACTCTGAATTGGGTTCAGTGATTACATGAAGTTTTGCTAAGTAAACCTAAAAGATGGTTCCCACCTTCAGGCTCAGTCTGGGAAAGAGAAGATAAAGGTGTGTACGTAGCAAAGCGTTTTACAACTGAGCAAACTACCCACACACCAGAATTCCTGCGTTAGGCGCAGGGTCACTCTCCTGTGCTCCGAGTAATACAGGCTGACCTGTGGCTCTGCCACCTCTGCTCTCCTTGGTCACCGCATGGAATGAACCGTATTTTCCCTCCACCAGGGCCTATGACCCTGCAGATTATGAGCATTTGCCAGTTTCTGCTGAGATTAAGGAACTCTTCCAGTACATCAGTAGGTGAGCACTGGGATCTCCCAACACACCCCACTGTCCCGACTTTGCCCCAAACCTTTTTCCTGTCTGGTCTGAAACTGGCCAGTGTCTTTTGGCTATTTTTAGTTTGAATTGTCATATAACTTTCTCTCGCTCTCCTGCTTCCTCGTCATTTCCTAGGTACACCCCCCAGTTGATTGACCTGGACCACAAGCTGAAACCATTCATTCCCGATTTTATCCCAGCTGTTGGGGATATTGATGCATTCTTAAAGGTACAGTCAGTGTATTCTAAAAACGATTCCTGAGGTCAGTGCTGGTGAGCCTGTGGCACCTGTGCCACAGCGGGGACCCCTCTGTCGGCACGTGAGGCAAGCTGCCTCAGCAGCAGCTGAGCATTGGCTGACAGTTGTTTTTTCTGAACTGTAATCTTGGTATTGAGGTTTAACTGCATATTGGCACTTTGCAATAAATGAGTGGGCTTTGGGTTGCAGTTTGGGGACTCAGTCTCTGAAAGGTTCACTGTCGCTGCCTTAGCTGTTTGTTCTGACTCCTCTGTTCTAACAGTTCTGCTAAATTTTTTTGACTTAATCGTGTTCATTTCATATGAGTTTTTAACCTTGCTTTCTCCTCCAGATTGTACTCATTGTTCTTATTTTTTCCCAAATCTATTTTATTTCAAGGATAAAATTTAAAAATAAAGAAAAAAAATAGAACATTTCAAAACGTGTCATTTAGGGGTGCCTATTTATCTTATCATATAATAAAAGATTGTCACATACTTGCTTCCTAATTATCCATTAATTTAGTTTGTATTTAAGCTGCCGTAGATGAGGGTTTTTTTATTCAGTAGCACTGAGAACCATATCATGAACAAGCTTCTTACTGCCAGAACTGATGATGAACAGGAAGACTCTCGCCTTCTCACCACCTTGGAAACAGCGGATGTGGCCTTGGTTCAGTCTTAATGTTTTTCTGCTTCCTCTCCTTTCTCTGACCAGGTCCCACGTCCTGACGGGAAGCCTGACAACCTTGGCCTGTTGGTACTGGATGAACCTTCTACCAAGCAGTCAGACCCCACAGTGCTCTCTCTCTGGTTGACAGAGAATTCCAAGCAGCACAACATCACAGTAAGGTCCCGGCCTCCTGCCACGGCCCCATCCGAGAGGGTGGGCAGGAGCAGTCTTGCTGGCCTTTACAGCCTATCAAAAGGGGTCATGTGGCTTTCAGCCAGCCCATTTTTTGTTTTTTGTTTTTTTTCTGTTCCAGGGAAACTCAACTTTGCACTTGCTAGGTAGGAACTTGTACTGCTGATATAAATCCCTGGTCCCGGCTCTATTTTTTTTTTTTAATTTAAAACATTTTTTAAATTTAATTTTTATTAAAAAAATATTACCAGGGATTGAACTCACGACTGCCTGCTTGCAAGGCAGGCGCGTATGCCACTGAGCTAAATCCCCAGGGCCCCCCCCCCCATTTTTTAACAACAGCTTATTGAGATATAAGTACAAACCCTAAAATTCACGCTTTTAAGTTGTACAGTTCATTGGCTTTTAGTATATTCATGGGGTGAGTATACTATTACTGCTCTCTAACAATTTTCATTGCTGCAGAAAAAACCTTGTACCTATTTTCTTTTCCTCAACTCTGGAAGTAACCACTTTTTATGGTGAATATTATTTCAGTGTGTGGATGTACCATATTTTATTGTTTCCACTTTTATTTCTTTCTTTTTTTTTTTGGTCAAAAAAATTGTTTTCAACACTGTTAGCCAGCTTTTTCCTTATTCTTTTAGCAACATATGAAAGTAAAGAGCCTGGAAGACGCAGAAAAGAATCCCAAAGCCATCGACACGTGGATTGAGAGCATCTCTGAGTTACACCGCTCCAAGCCCCCTGCGACTGTGCACTACACCAGGTAGTGATCTCGAGTTGTCGGCCTGCAGCCACTGCCTAAACCTTAGGGACAAATACGGTCAACCCGAGGGCCCGAAAACTTGACAGTTGCTAGCTTAGTTTATAAACATAAAGATTGAAATCTCTCTGGTGTTACTACATGGCCAGCCCTTCCAAACCCTGCGCTCTGGGTAAATTTGATCTGTGGTCTAGATTTTCCTAAAATTGTAGGGTGCTAGATTGAGGACCTCTTGTTATCCTATAATATCCTGATCCCAGGCTACTGATGTCATTAGTCTAGGTTTCCTATTCATATTTACCTCTGAACTTTCAGACCCATGCCTGATATTGACACACTGATGCAGGAATGGTCCCCAGAGTTTGAAGACCTTTTGGGCAAGGTGAGTGGGAAGAAGCAGGAGGTAAGAGCATGTGGCGTTTATTAGAGGATCCAGCGTTTTCCTGTGTTATTATTGTCACTATTGACTGTTTTTGATGCTGGGAGTGGAACTCAAGGCCTGGAGCATGCTAGGCAAGTATTCTACTGCGTCCCCAGCTCCTCAGCATCACAGTGTAACACACAATCAGCAATGTACATGTACCATTAGTGGTGATCCATTTTCACTGACTGAGCCCCCTTGTGTAACCGGCACATCAGATTAGTAGTTAGAAAAGCACCATTTTGGAAGCCCCATGCTCCTACTTCCCAAGATAACCACTGTCTTGAAGTCTAGGCTTGCCTTGTTTTGTACTTTCTCTAAGTCCAAATATACTCTTTATGGCTGTCTTCTTGTTCTATTATGGGAGATTCATCTATATTGTTTTGTGTGGTTCTTCATTGTTTCTTTTTTTTTTTTTTTTTTTTTTTGTCTTTTTCTTTTTTATCGGTACCAGGGATTGAACTCATGACTGCCTGCTTGCAAGGCAGGCGCTTATGCTGCGGAGCTAAATCCCCAGCCCCTTCTTCATTGTTTCTTGTAACTGTAGGTTATTCCATCACTACATACATGTTCTATGACAATTTATGCATTCTGTGATAGGCGTGTGAGTACTTTTTAGTTTTTGGTTATCACAGTGGTGCTGCTGTGAACATTCTGTCTACCACATACCTTTGATGAACATTGTACTTCTTGCACTATTATTTTATACTCAGATCTCTTCCGTAGGAGGTGTTCATGCTATTCCAATGTCCCATTTATAATTATTCCTTTTTTCTTTTCTGTGTAGGAATTTAAACCCAGATCCTCATACATGCTAGACAAGTGCTTTACTACTGAGTTATATCCCCAGCCCAGATTACTCCAAATTTTAAAAATATCCAAGAATAAAATGGGCATGGTGGCACATGTATGTAATCCCAGCAGCTGGGAGGCTGAGGCAGGATGATCACTGCAAGGTCAAAGCCAGCGTGGGATACATAGCAAATTCAAAACCAGCCTGGCTGGGTGTGATGGCATATGCCTATAATCCCAGCACTCAGGAAGATTGTTGGAAGTTTAAGACCATCCTGGGCTACAAAGTGAGCTTAAGGCCAGCTTGAACTGCATAGTAAGACCCTGTCTCAAAGAAGACAAAAAAACTCAACCTGAACTATGTAGTGAGTCTCTGTCTTAAGAAAAATTCAAGAAGATTGCTAAGATTTTTTCTGAAAATAAATTGTAAAACTTTTAATGGAGGCAGACATAGTAGCAAAAGAAAATTTTGAGTTAAAGGCTACCCTAGGGTCAGAGAGAGCTCAAGGCTAGCCTGGACTTCATAGCCAGACCCTGCCTCAAAACAAAAACAAGCAAACAAACCAAACCCACAACGAAACTCTTTAATAGAGGACATAAAATGAGATATGAATGACCGAGGGCTCAGATTGCGCTCTGTGATGGAAGGATTCGGTTGTAGAGTTATCGGTCCTCTCTAACATATTATGTAAGTGTAATGCCATTTCCATCAGAGTTTTTACCATATTTATTAGAAATTGAAGCTATAAATTGGAAGGTTTTTTTTTTTTTTTTTGTCTTTTTCCTTTTTTATCGGTACCGGGGATCGAACTCACGACTGCCTGCTTGCAAGGCAGGCGCTTATGCCGCTGAGCTAAATTCCCAGCTCCTGAAGCTATAAATTAATGTGCAAAAATAGTTTAACACATCATAAACATTTTACAGGAGAAAAAGGATTTGCCCATAAGATGTCACATTATGAAAGTATACTACAATAAATAGCACATGCTTGTAATCCCAGCACTCAGGAGGGTAAAGCAAGAGGATCACAGTGAGTTCAGCCCAGCCTGTGCTGCATAGGAAGAGTCTATCTCAAAAAACAAAGAACAAAATTATAGTAAATAATACAGTACTAGCACGGAGCCAGGCCTGGTGGCATATGCCTGTAATCTCCTGCTAATGCAGGATGATCCCAGCCTGGGCATTTTATCAAGACCCTGTCTCAAAAAAGGGATGGGGATGAGCTTGGTGCAAAGACCCATGAGTTCAGTCCTCAATACTGGAAAAAAAAAAAAGACTGGCATGGGAATAAACATGCAAATCAGTGGACCATAAAAGTCCAGAAACAAACCCATGTAAACGTGAGAGTTTGGTATAGAAGAAAGGTAGGGTTTTTGTTGTTGTTTGTTTTGGTTTTGTGGTGCTAGAGATTGAACCTAGGGACTTGTATACTAGGCGAGTGCTCTACAGTTGAGCCACACCCCCCCAGCCCTTGGTCAGGAAATCGAATAGCTAGACTAGTACATCCATCCAGTGAAAGGCTATGCAACTCAATATTATTTGGTATTTTGCTCTAGTATAAGTAAATAACACATTTATATTTATATATATATATATATATATTTTTTTTTTTTTTTTTTTTTTTTGCATGTCTGTGTGTGTGGTGCTGGGGCTTTGTGCACGCAGAGCCAGAGCTCTACCACTGAGCCCCATCCCCAGCCAACAATGATATACTGTGAAATGAAAAAGAGTTGTAAAACTATATGTGCAATTTTTTTAAAAAAACAGAAAACTGTTTTAAGCAGCCAGTAGTTTTTAATCTTACAGTATGACTTGTTTAAATCCAAAGTCTGTCACCTGAGTGAGATGCTCTGTCCATTTGCTCCGTTCCTATGGTGTTCTAGAACTGTTCATGTTAGAACAAGTTACTAAATTCCCAGCCATAAAACTGGGACCAGACTCTTCATGATCTGCAGCAGAAGACAGCCTATCAGTATATTTTACTTACAAAATCATTTGGCCTCGATAGACCATTCACTATCTTTGTAGTTAATGAGTACAACTGACTCCATCTTACCGATGGAAATTGTATTGCTATGCAAATTGTATTAGTTTTCAAGGGTTACTGTAACAAAATACTATAGACTTGGTGGTTTAAACAGCAGGAACAGTTTTTCACAGTTCCGAAGGCTGGGAATCTAAGATCAAGTCGGCAGGGTTGATTTCTTCTGGAGTCTCATTGTCTTCAGTCTTCCCTCTCTGTGCTTATGTCCCGATTTCTCCTTGTCAGGCCACCAGTCATGCTGGATTAGGGCCCACCCCAGTGACCTCATCTCCACATAATTCCTTCTGTAAAGACTCTGTCTCCACATGTAGACATTCTGAGGCTCAGAGGGTAAGACCTCAATATAGGAATTCTGAGGCGCCTAAGAAAATTAGAGTTACCCCTGCCTTACGGTAGAAGTCCTTTCCCTGCAGGGAGTGGTGCCGCGCACTCTGTGCCTCTTTAATGCGGGCCATCTGCACCCTTGTAGGTGAGCCTGCCTACCGCGGAGATGGACTGCAGCCTGGCCGAGTACATCGATGTGATCTGTGGTGAGCGCTGCATTCTAGGCTCTTGCAAGAGCTCACTGACCCTGGGAAGGTGGTGCTCAGGCTTCTGAAACCACTCACTGGGTGTCTACCCAGCTCGCAGTCACACATGCCGCCTGGGAAGGGGCTGACTGTGCCGACCAGAGCGCCCCCATCCCCTGTCTCCGCGTTCCGTTCCTGGCAGCTGTTCTCATTTCAGCCATCCTGGACATTCCTGTCTACAAGAGTCGCGTTCAGTCCCTCCACCTGCTGTTTTCCCTCTACTCAGAGTTCAAGAACTCACAGGTGAGGCACGCAGGGGAGGTTAATGGAGCTGTAGTAGGGCGTCTTCAGGTCCCGGGCCTGCTGTGATTGCGTCCTGTAGCAGTGGAGAACATCCCTGCCAGCAGCAGCCAGGTGCGGTGGCCCACACCTGTAATCCCAGCACTCTGGTGGTGGGGGAGGCTGAGGCGGGATGACTGCCATGAGCGCAAAGCCAGGCTGGACCACATGAACAAGTTCAAGGCAAACCATACACACGCACACACACACAAGGAAGGAAGGAAGGAAGGAAGGAAGGAAGGAAGGAAGGAAGGAAGGAAGGAAGGAAGGAAGGAAAGAAGGAAGGAGGGAGGGAGGGAGGGAGGGAAAGAAGAAAGAAAAGAAAAGAAAGAAAGAGAGCAGCAGAGGAGGCAGGCCTCAGATGATGAGGACCTGCAGGGGACATCCGTGCTTAGAGGAGGCTCAAGTGGCTTCATGAATGGAAGCACAGAAGGAAAAGGGATTCATAGCAGAAGGAGATTGGGCAGATTTCTCATTGGAATTGGTGTGGAGCAGGGTTGGGAGAAAATTGGGAGTTTAAAATGTTTTCAAAGAGACAGCTCTTTCTAAAATGTAGCAATTGTCACATCCCGTGCACTCAGCGTGCCCTCTCCTCTTTCCTGGCAGCATTTTAAAGCTCTGGCTGAAGGCAAGAAAGTGTTCACCCCTCCATCCAACTCCACCTCCCAAGCCGGAGATGCAGAGACGCTGACCCTCAGCTGAGACCCCGAAGGCCATGTGGAGTCTGAGGGGACTGGTCCTTGTCACCGCCCCAGTGCCTGCCTGCTTTGCAGCCATGCTGGCCTGCACTGCACTGTATCCTCCCTCCAGAGAACACTGCACATGTCTGCCGACAGGCTCGGCCTGCCCGGTGGCTTTAACAGGAGGGCTACACACCCACAGCACTGTGGGGTTTGTCTTGGAGGATGAAGATCGGGTGGAACACTTACAAGATGTTCTTCTGGGGACAGGGATGGCATTACTCTCTTTCATTCAGGAAGGGTCTCACTGTGTAGCTCAGGCTCACTGTGAACTGGCTATCCCTGTCTCAGCGCAGCTGTTCTTTCCTTCCTTACGTTAGTCGGCAGTGATTTTACATTAAAACGCTGTGTCAGTTTGTGATAGGATGCTCTGGTTTTGTATCTGCAGTTCCTGGTTCATGACTTCCATTGCTCTTATTTCCTAAGTGACTAGAATAGTGTTGAGGAGCTACAGGCCTCAGACAGCTCCCCACTACCTCTGGCCTTTTGCCTTCTTTTACCCCCCCCCCCACCTTTTTTTTTTTCCTCAAGGCAGGTCAGAGAAATTTAATGTTAAATGCTCTCTCCCACCTTGTGTGTAGTAGATGTTGAGCCCCCCCCATTGCAGGAGGGTCCTACCCCATATTCTCTGGGAAGCAGTACTGGGCCCTGCTGGCTTTCCCAGTCCAGCACTGCATCACGTGCTTTGTGTCTGTTCGCTTTTTTTGTTTTGTTTTCTTTTCAAGACAGGCTTTCACTGTAGAGTTTAGGCTGGCCTTGAACTACATTTCTGTAGCCCACATTGGCCTTTAAACTCTGATCCTCCTGCCTCAGCTTTCTGAGTGCTGAGGCATGTGCCACCATGCCATGCTCCACTCACATTTGTCACGCCTGTGAATGGATTCTCCATATATAACTCCCAAGGCCAAGGTTCAGAGAGCTGGAGAGCCAGGTACCTAACGGTTCCTGGAAGGTGACTGCCTGGACAGGGCATGGATGCCCTGCACCCCTTCCGCCACATCCTTTGCACATCTCTTTTGAGCTCTCTGTAATTCTCTTTCTAAGCCAGTGATGTGTTCTTCTGAGTTCTGTGAGCTGCTGCAATCCTATCAGGTGAACCCAAGGAGAGGGTTTAGTCAAAAGCACAGGTAAAACAAGCTGGGGCTTGTGACTGGCACCTGAAATAAGGGCATAGTTTTGGGGTCTGAGCCCCCAACCTGTGGGGAGTCTGGTGCCGCCTCAAGGTAGACAGTGTCGCCTGCACCAGGAGACACCTGCCTAGTGTTCAGTGCTGCAGAATTGATTGCTTACTGGTTGAGGGAGTCATTTTTCCTCCGAATTTCATTTTCTGGGACTCTGCAGGGAATGCTCTCTCCCTTCCCTCTCTCTCCTCTCTGTGCAGGGAATGCTGTCTGTTGTGACCCCAGTGACCCTGCTGTTGCAGTAATCCAGAGAGAGGCAGGTGTGTCTTGCGGTAGAGTGGTGCTGGTAGATGGACAGACTTCGGACATCCTATAGAGCCCGAGAATCTGAAACCATGCAGGTGATTTCTGATGAAGGGTATTTCCTGGAAGAAATTGGTCACAAAAATGTGGGCAAGCACTAGGCATGGTGGCACACGCCTGTAACCCCAGTACCTGGAAGGCTGAGGATTGCTGCGAACTCAAGGCCAGCTTGAGTTCAAGGCCGGCGGTGAACTGCATAGAGAGACCCTGCCTCAAAACAGAAGTGTTGGCAAGGGCTGAAGAAGAGAGAGAAGGGGGGTACTTAGACACACGGGGTGTCCATGGCAGGTACTGCCAGCAGAGGTCTGCTGCAGCTAGGTCTTGAGTGACTGAGGTGGCCCTGCTGGAGATCACGTGCCCTCAGTCCCTTCTCTGTGGTGATGGGGAGCAGAAATGAACAGCAGGCAGGGGAATCTGGAAAAGCCAGCAGCACTACAAGCAGAGTGGAGGTTAGCACTCTGGAAGTCCTCAGCCCCTCTTTCTGTATTTTCATGGGGACGTCACGGTAGGCACGAAGCCTGGAGGACCATGCTGAAATGTGACAGGAGATACAGGGTGTGAGCTAACACTAACAGCCTGGATGGGGACTCCGAGCAGGGCCAGACATTCTTCAGGGTTCCCTGCTCCCTGAGGCAATAGTAAGTGACCAGACAGAACTGATAGAACTTGGTGAGACTGGCTGTGGCTCATGGAAGAGATCAAGAGTCACTCGTAGGTGTTTCAGGCTCAAGGAACTGAACGGATCCGGAGCCCAGTGCCCAGTGCCGATACAGGGAGAAAGGGGGCAGCAACAGGAGGGGAAGGCAACGTTAAGATGCCGCGTTGCTGCCTTATTTATCTGTCTTTTTGAGACTACAAGTAGAGTTCAAGCTGGCCTGGACTGACTTTGTATACACAGTGCTCACACAGACAGGAGAGGGATGGTTTCTTACAAATTCTCAAACCATCCACAATCACATCATGACTGACACCAGGTCAGCCTAGTGCTCTGCCCTGAGTCAAATCCCACCTCATACTGAGCATCAAACCCAGGGTCTCTACATCGAGTTACAGCCCCAGTCTGTCTGTCTATTTCCTTATTTAAGTTTGAGACTTAGTCACTGTGTTGCTCAGGCCAGGTGTGAACTTGCTGGCCCCTGCCTCAGCCTTCTAGTCCTGGAATAATGTGTGTTCCACCATGCCCAATACATACTGTGCGATTTAAATACTTCAGTCAAGGGCTGGGGATGTAGCTCAGTGACAGAACATCTCTTACATGTACAAGGCCCTGGGCTTGATCCCCAGCACCATCAAAAATCTTTCTTCATTTAAAAAAAATATTTGACAAAACAGCAAATATATTCATTCATTCAAGTTTATTGATCTTACTGTGTGCTTAGCACTGTTCCTAGGCAGTAATATGGGAAAAATGACAAAATAACAAGGGAAAAATATCCTCTTCTCTCTGCTAATTTCCAATCATTTCCATGCTGCTTTTTAAAAGCACTTTTTAGGTCATTTTGGGATATGTGGTCTCCCTCTATGTCTCCCTAAGTTTCTGGAACTGTTGAATTATGTATCCTCTTTAGCCCCACCTAAAAAACAGGGTGGGGTAGGACAGGTGGCTTCCAGTGGGTGTGCAAGCCAGGGCTGGCCAGGGCTGCAGTCAGGGAGACTTGCTGAGAGGAAACTGTCTACCTGAGGGCTCAGGACACTCACAGTGAATCGGAGGAAGGCCAAACTTGGGGATCCCAGAGGGTTCTGGGCCCTCTCTTACCCGCTCCCCTAGGGGATGTGCTTCAAGTGCTAACAGTAAAAAATGATGCATAGCTGCATGCAGTCCTGGGCACCTCTCTTCCTCCCAGACTTGTGCTAACACCAGGCACTTGTGCCAGGTGAAGAAACAGAGAAGAGCCAGTGTATAATCTATAATATTTAAGATGCAGGGCAAGAGGCACAGGGTGAGGGGTGGAGAGCTATGCAGCAAAAGGGACCAGTTTGTGCTTGGTGGGGGGCCCGGGCCACAGGTTGGTTCTTGGGCAAAGGGCAGTTTAGTTCTGTACAGCTAGCAGGGTACCGCATCCTCCCTGGGGCGACAACGCTGCATAGCATAAGGACATTAAAGACATGCAGGCCCTCCTGTTATAAGCAGCCTTCCCCATGCCTACTCTATAAGTGCTATCGAGTATGGGTGTGGGGCATGTAGCAGGCCATGCCACACTTGGTGCTGGATGACAGCTGGACACACCTGGTCAGGGAGTTCTATCTGCTGGGCCCAGTCATCATGCGCAGGCCCCAACCCTTGCGAGTTAGCACAAGGGGCTTAGTTCTGGCTGGCAGCCCTGCTAAGGTAGATCCTAGCGAAACAGATCATGTGCTTGACCCCAGGTTACCCCAGGCAGGAGGACCAGCCAGTAGCAGCTGCACGGCCTCATGCCCAGGCAGAGGATGCACTAGAGGAATTGGCGGGGTGCTTGGGGTGTCCAGGGCCAAAGGGTGCTCCTGTTGCACCTTGCTCAGAGCCAGATCTCATCACTGCTCACGCTGGACACTCGATAGATGTAGCCCAGCATTGGGAGGCGGATGAAACCTGCAGGGTCAGAGATGCCCAGAGGACTCAGTGGTCCTGGTTGCTGGGAACACGGGGAAGCGCTCTCTACCCTCTGGCATTCAGAGACCTTTGGCATTGACAAAGGGCTGCAGCATAAGGAGGGCAGCAGGCCTACTCCCCAGTACCTCGGCTGGTGAGGAGGCCACCAGACTCAGGTTCTAGAAGTTCTGGCCGGCTGCTGTTCCGAGCCATTGGCCGGTCTGCTACTTTCTCTGCTGGGTGGCAAACAGGGTGGTGCCCAAGATGAGGAATGTAGTGGGTGGAGCTTTACTCCCCCCCTTAGGAACCAGAAGCACTTTGGAATTAAAGCAGGGACAAGCACCAGGGTCCCGGACATACCTCTGGAATCTGGAGCCAGGTCGTTGAGCTGAAGGTTGGAAGGGAGGGACATATTCTCCCGTGGCAGACGCACATTGCTGAGTTTCAGGTTGTTAGAACCACTACAAAGTGCACACAAAGGCCGAGATGCGCCAGGCACCAGCAGGCACAAGCTCCTGGCTTGAAGCCCATCCCAGACTTCCCAGAATCCCCCAGTTCCCACCTGTCCCCATTCTGCATTTGGGTTCAGCCCATCCATCTAGCCCCAGGCGTTACCTAGAGATCAGAGATGGGCGTCGGGAGGGGCCTGAGGAAAAAGAAACCATGCCACTGGTTCTTGTGTGTTCACCCCCAGTGGGCTCTGCCCCCCTGCCTTTTCAGAGCTGGACCCTTTAGAAAGGAGTCTCTCAATGCCCATCCTGGCCTTGAGACCAGAGACCAGGTTCTCCATGCCTGTCCCTGCTGCCTGGGTGTGTTGTCTTACCTGCACCCACATCCTGCAAGAGGTCTGCCAAGTGGCAGATGGGTCATTCTGTCCAGTGCCACTTGCCAGTCACCCCAACCTCATTGCCACTCCTCCAGCCACCCTCTGTCCCCACTGCCCCTGGCCCTACCTTTGATCTTCTCTTTCCTGCAGACCAGGCAGGCCACCAAGGTGCTGAACCCCACTAGGGTGCCCAGAGCAAGCCCTCCAGCCATAACGATGCCCAGCAGTGGCACTTCCACCCGGGTGGCCAGGAGCCCTGCAGGTTGTCCACTGTTAGCCTCAAGTGGGCAATACCGCAACCCTGAGATGCCATAGGCTAAACTATTCTGTCCTCCTTGCCTAAGGTGGCTAGGGGTCAGCTCATCCATGAGACCCACCCACAGGGCAGTGAAGTCCTCCCGTTTCTGTACTGTGATGCTTGTACCCACCTAAGGCTTTGCTGAGCCAGCTGTTAGCACTGCTCACCTGGGCCTGGAAGCGAAGCACTGGTGATCCCGACATCATTGGTGGCCACCACGGAGAGGTTGTGTGCCAGGCTGCGGAGCTGCAGCTGCACAGTGTGGTTGGTGAGCCAGGGATAGTTCTGAGCATCCAGCACCAGAAAGTCAGAGGTGTTGACAGTCACTGGCCCATCCTGGTCAATCCAGGTGACGTGGGCAGGTGGGTTGGCACGCACCAGGGCAAACAGGACAACCAGGAGGCCTGGGCCCTCACCTTCGTGGTACTTAGCCCTGACCTGGGCGATTTCTGGTTTAACTAGTGTAAAAAAGAGAGTGATAAGCGCTCACCACACCCCATATACCCTGGCCTTTTCTCCCCAAATCCAGATGGGAGCCAGAGATCTGAACTTCTCAGAGTAGGCACTGAGGTAGGATGGCTGGATTTCAGAATGATCAGAGGCAGCATTTCATAATGATCAGTACACAGGCCTGTCTAACCCACAGACAGTGCACCACTTGCCTTTTAAAAAATGTTATAGTAAATATTAAAAGTAAAGGGTGGCTGGAGATGTGGCTCAGCGGCAGTTTCTGCCTGGCAAGTACAAGGTTGAGTTTGATGCCTGGTATCAAAAAAAAGGTAAGTTTTAAGATGTAATTGTATATGCAGCCCAACCCAACTCCTGCTCACTCCGTGTGACTTGCCAGATGGACATACCTATCAGAGCCAAGATGTCTGGCTCTGCTTCTTACCATCTCTAACTTTGGACAGATTGCTTAACCTTTTTGTGCCTCGGTTTTCATATTTGTAAAATGGGGACAAAAATAATAATCCCTTCATAGAATTATGTGAGGATAAAGCGAATTAATATTTGCAAAGAACAAAAAAAAATACTTTGCAAAGAGCTTAAGTGTTGGTTGATATCATGCTGAGCACCTGCCACAAGGCTGCTGGGAGTGGAGGAACCCCGCCTCTTGCTCACCTCAGGGATACTCACATTGCACATTGAGGATGACAGAGGCGTTGGCTGACCGGCCACTGCCAGGGTCCTGAAGGGAGCAGTTGAGCTCATGCTGGGCCCGCTGAGCAGTGACAGTAAAGGTGCTGGTGCCTCCAGAGAAGGCCTCCCCCCCTACACTCAGCAGTTTTGAGGTGCTGGCCTCCTGTAGCTGTCCATCCAGGTACCAGGCCAATCGGGGGGAGCCAGGGCCCCCTGTCACCCGACAGGTGAAGGCATGACGCTCATTCTCCCGAAGTGCCCTCTCGGCCCAGGTGTAACCATCAATTTGTGGTGCCAACTCCCCCCAACCTGGAACACAGCAGGCAGCCTCTAAGAGGGGCTGAGGGAGGCTGGTACTGTTCTGTGACTGGGATGAGGTCCTTACCAAGGGGCAGCACCTCACGAGACAAGGTGACTGGGTTCTCTCATTAGAGGCTGGTTGAACCCACTTCTCACTAGGGAGAGACTAGGGTAGGTTAAGTGGGAGAAGGAAGCCTGGGTTTGGAGCTTAGGCCTGTCCCACCTAAAGAGGGCACCAGGTGGAAGGTGCAGGCAAGGAGGGGAAGGATGGGGCTCTGGCACCCAGAAGTGCTTGGCCAAGGAACCAACAGGAGTGTACCTGAGCTCAGAAAGGCTGGCAGGAGCAGCAGTGTGCACGGCAGGATGGCTCGGCCTGGAGGCTGCCCCATGGTGGCCAGAGCCCGGGCCCGGGCTGCTGAGAGTACGGGGTGGCCTCGGTGTCAGCCAGATGAGAGCAGGCAGGCCTAGCAACGCCTTCAGAAATTGACTCTCAAAAAAAAAAAAAAAACAAAAAGAACCATACACGAAATCACGACTGTGAACTAGCGCACAGTTGTTGATGCACTGCAACGGGGTGCAAAGCTCAAAAGTACAGACCCACCCGGCACACACCTGGGAACCTGCGGGCAAAGAATCCGGCACTGACTGCTGGGGACAAACAGCACACACACGAAGACACAGAGGAGGAGCCACTGTGCAGCCCCTCACCCCCCCGGCACGGTCTGCACATACCCCTCTTCCAAACGGACTGCCCTCCGACCCTGTCCTTTCTCCCTCCCATCTCTCGCCCTATGCCCCCTTCTCCCATCCCAGTTGCTCAGGTGGCCTTGGGCCCTAGAGGAAGATGGCCCTAGCATCCCGCCACCGCCCCTCCCCCGTGCGGCTCACCTGGCTCCCTCCAAAAGCGCAACCGAGCAACTGCTCAGGTCTGACGAGCACCGCAGTTCGCGGGAGGGGGAGGGGGAGGGAGAGGTGGAGGGGGCCGCGCCAGGCAGGGCCAATCGATGCCCGACCATGAGCGAGTGGGTGGCCGCTCCCGCCCCACCCGGCCCGCACCTCGGGCCCCTGCCCGGTCAGCCCGAGCCTGGGTTCCCTTGAGTGGGCGCGTGACGAAACTGAAGGAGGCACAATCGCTCAGCTCGGCAGCTTTATTGGTTCAGGCCCCCAGACCCGCCCGCGCGCTCAGCGTCCGTTGTCGGGGCCGCGCAGCTGCCCCATCATGTCGGCCAGCATGCGGTTGCACAGCGCGGCGTACGGGTTGAGCAGCACCAGCTGGCGCCGCGCGAAGGAGCTACCCAGCTGCACGGCGCGCTCGAAGTCCCTGCTGGCGTCGTCGTCCCGGCCCTGCAGCCGCGCCAGGAGCCCGCGCTGCACGAAGCCTTGGCGGGCGGCGCGGCCGCGTCCTCCGCTCAGCGCCACGGCGCGCTCCAGGTCCTCCAGGGCGCCTGCGGGCGGACACGCGCGGGGTCAGCAGGCGCCAGGGCCCCGCCCACCCAACCCCCCAGTCGTCACGGAGGCCCCGCGGCGGGTCAGTTACATCCCGCCCGCGAGGCGGTGCGGTACCGGTGTGGGACGAACGGCCGTGCTGACACTGGGACTCGTTCGGCTCGCCCCTGCTGGGGACTTTTCCGAGGAGCGCGCCCCTGGCAGACCCTCCTTTCTGTAAAACCCTCGCCCCTGTTCTCGTGCCTGCTCCGATGGCCCCAGCATCAAGCTCTCTGCAGTACAGGGTACCTGTTAAGGCTTCCCTTTGACTCTGCCTGGGTCTTAAATTGTTTTGACTGCCTTGTGCCCAGCCCGGTTCCCGAAGCGCTATTTCCTGAGCCTTTGGTGTCCTAAGGGGCTCTGCTCTTTCTCTTGACCCATTGGCACGGCGGTAACGGAATGTCTATGGCTGCGTCTACACTCAGGCTGGATCCACAGGCCGCCGAGCGAACTCCTAACTCGTAGCCGCCCTTCGGGGTAACATCCCGGGACACTGCCGGTCCTTTCGTGGACGGCGATTATCCCATTTTGACTGCCGGCGCACTCACCAGCATAGGCAAAAGGCAGCTGATCAGCTGTCTGCTCGCGCGGGTAGGATACGAGGCTACTTCGTTGGGCTTCTGGGGCGCCCTTAATCGCCCAGTGTGGTGCTGGACGAATCCACTCATATTGTAAGGACCCTCTGCCTCCGTTTTCTTTCCTGGGGAGCTCTGCCACACTTCACCCGGCTTCCTGATCCGATAGCTGGATCGTCGACTCTGGGCATGCGGTTGAGCGTTTCTCCAGAGCCTTGAGTTTCCCTCCCGCTCACCCTATTCGCTATCCAGATTGATCACCCTATAATAGGTTCTCTGGCCCCAGCGCCCTCTAGCGTTGGTTGGACATCCCAATGTAGCGCAGGCCTGAGGTCCCTTGCTGATAAATGAACAATCTCCGTCTCCTAGGGATACCTTTAAGGAAGACATTAGCCTAAATAGGACCCAGTGTGGCCCTCGAACTCTCTGCCCCTGCCGATTCATCCCTGGAATGCAGTCTCAAAAACTGGTGTATGAGTGGATTAATCTGCTAATGAGTTTAGGGTTAAATGTGATTTGGGAGGTGAAGCCTGATGGAGATGGGGGCCTCCTTCCTCCTTTGATCTCTTTGCTTCCCACCACCATCTCATGAGCTCTTCTCTCCTCTGCCATGCTGTTCGGCCCTGGAGCCAGCTGACTATGGGCTGGTGCTTTTTTTTTTTTTTTTTTTTTGTCTTCGAAGTTCTAGGGATTAAATCCTGGAGCTCAAAAAAAAAATTCTCGGGGCTGAGAGTATAGCTCAGTGGCACAGTACCTGCCTGGCAAGTGCAAGGTCCTGAGTTCGATTCCCGGTACCAAAAAAGAAAAAAAAATTTTTTTTTCATTTTGAGACAGAGTCTTACTAAGGTATATGGTGGGTCCTAGCCAAACTCTTATTAAGTGCAAGCCAGCTTTGAACTTGTCCTCTTGCCTCAGCCTCCCAAGTATCTGAGATTACGAACACCTTCCATTCTGCTCAACCTGGAAAAGTAATCGTTTGCCTTTGGTTTCTTCCTATGGACATTTGTTTGGATGTTGTATGAGAACATCTGTTTTGTTCAATTTAGTATGAGAACTGTGTTTCCAGCTACTTCTGTCTACACTGGAAGGACTTAGATGGTGCTTATGTTATGAACACCTTGAAGGAAAGCCTCTCTTAAAAGTGTATGATAGTCTTGAAAGCAAATGGTACCGTATTCCAAGACGGGGAAACACTGCGCTGATCTCCAGAACTTGAGCATGAGAGTACATCATATGTTGTAATCCGCAGAACCCCAGAGTGAGGTTCATAATTACCTTTGTTGTCAATGATCCTTTGAGTGAAAGCTGTTTTCAGACTTTTTATTTTTTTGAGACAGGATCTCACTATGCAGTTCAAGTTGGTCTAGAGTTCATTTTGTAGCCCAGGCTGTTCTTGAATTTGCAATAATCCCCCTGCCTCAGCCTCCCAAGTGCTAGGATTATAGGTGTGCCACCACCATGCCTGACCTTTTTTTTTTTTTTTTAAACAGAGTCCCAGCTCAGGCTGGCCTTGAACTCACTATGTATTCCAGGCTGACTTCGTACTTACAGTAATCCTCCTGCCTCACCCTCCTGAATAGCTGTGCACCACCACCTCCAGCTTCGCTCAGACTTTATAGGTAAGAAATTTGAGACTCAGAGTTTCAGTCACATGCCCAGGTTCACAAAGCTAATAAGTGTTGCATCTGGATTTAGTCTAGATTTACCAAACTTCCAAGCCTTTGCCCTTATCCACTACTGCTCCTCAGGCCACTACTACTATCTTTGGAAATAGTAGCATTTGAAACATTTGCACAAATAATCCCAGTGAATAGAATCGTGGTGATTTTTTTTTAACCATTGCCAAAACCAAATGGAACTGAAAAAGTATATTTGAAAAGCTGTTACAGGGCTGGGGATTTAGCTCAGCAATATAAGCACCTGCCTTGCAAGTGTGAGGTCATGAGTTCAATCCCCGGTACCAAAAAAAAAAGCTGTTATAGACTTAAATGGGGTAAACACTGCATTTGAGTTGATCCTCCACATTCAGAAGCCTTATCTAAGAGGAGACCTGGACTGCAAGGGTGCCTTGCAGGCACCGGGCGATGCCCCCTGCCTTGAGTCAGAGCTCCTGCTCCAGCTAAGCTGTGGTTCACAGAGGAAAGTGCTGCATGCCACAAGTGGACATCCTTGCATGTTTCCAAGCTTAGCTGGCTGTACTGTTGACCAGCGTGCCGCCCCAGGAACATCCCTAAAGTGGGCTGGAGATACTGCTTGTAGTTTTGATGTTGTTTAATGAGCATTGCTACTATAGAGCAGCCTAAACTCTGTATCATACAAAGAAAAATTAATTCTGGGGGCTGGGGATTTAGCTCAGCGGCATAAGCGCCTGCCTATAGACCTGGGCGGGGGAGAAAAATTAATTCAGGTCCCTGAGTACCCCCTAGCGGCCAGTTATGGTGCTAACCAGGAACTGGGCAAGACAGCAGGCATGCCCGAGTATTGCTGAGGGCAGCACAGTGCTCTGCGACCACAGGACAGGATAAGTCTACAATGATTTTAGCCAGGGCGGTGGTGCTTGCCTGTAATCCCAGCACTCTGGAGGCTGAGGCAGAAGGACCACTGTGAGTTTGAAGCCAGCCTGAATTATGTGGTGAGATGCTGTCTCAAACAACAATGACAAAACAAAAAGATTTTGAGGGCCATTAAGTTCGTGGATGAAGCCTTCTAATAGAAGCCCTGTGTTCCTTTTCTAGATACTCATCTCTGAACCAGACAGCTGTCCAGCTCAGTGGTCATTATGCTGCTGCCCAAAAGAAAGGCTCGCGAAGACAGACGCAGCCGGAAACTGAAAACACGTCATCACAGCAGCTAGGCTCTTTAGAGTCTCATGAATATCTGCTACAGGTTTTCTAGGAAAGATTGTGTATTTTCGGAAATTAGGTCACACTTTTGAGGAGATTTTAGCATGCAGTGCACCGTTGTATGATTAAGGTAAAGAGGCTGCTGCACCAAATAGAAAAACAAATCCAAGGTAGATCGAGGTAGCAGAGTTCCAGTTCAAGGGGGTCTCTGCTTTGCGCGTTATTTAGGGAGCTAGTTTTGTGGGGGTCCCAAGAACTCTAACAGGTGACTTCCAGAGGTGCTCTGGCCATGGATACATGGCCAGTTTTGGGGAAAGGAACTGCATTATGACCTGTACCCTAATTCCAGGCCACTGGAGACTCTGATGTGGGTACCACCCTAGTTTCCACATCTACTGTCTAATCTCCCACTCAGCAGAAAGCTTTCAAGTCCATCAAGTTCCTGACACAAAATCCCTAAACCCTGCCAAGGCTGACTGTGGTGCATGGGAGACCTCAACAAGAGCGAACGCTGTCTCACACCAAGGCCCCAGGATGGGAAGCTACTTTGACAGACAGATGGACAGTGAGGCCAAATAGGACTCTACGCTATGAGAATGTGTGTGTCTCATCCTCAGACTTGAAGTCATGATTTAGAAGATGCAAATGTTATTGCCTAAACGTTACACTGTACATTTCTACCAGGGTTCAGGAAAACACTTTCACTGCTACTGTATTTAAGTGATAATCAATAGGCTAAAGTTTCAGCTCACTGGCAATTTTCGAAGCAATGTTTTTGAACACCACAGGTGTGCCTGCCTTCCATGAAAGTGGACCCCATTCAGAAAGTCTTGGCAGCCGACAGACCGCCATCTCCCACTGCACAGGCTTCTCACCAGGCCCACAGCCTCGGCTAGAGAAGGACGGCAGTGCCCCCTGCTCGGAGAAGCAATCCTGTCCACGCAGGACATTCTGGATCTCCCGCAGCCTGTCCCTGGGATCCATGGAACTAGTGGTTTTCATTCTCCAAGCGAAGCGGGGGGCCTGAGGTTCTGCTTTCTTTCTTTCCATACTTTGTTAGATGCTCTGCAATGCCTTGTGAGTCTTAAAGTGAAGTTAGGAAAGCGCTCACGGGGTCCTCGACATTTGAGGCAGGGACTGGCCTGTCATCCTGGGAGAGCTGGGCGAGGGGGCTGGGCCGCCGTACCTCACAGTTCCTCCCTCCTGGGGCTGGCAGTGTGAAGTGCAGCCCATGCACTGGGTTGCTGCTTGGCACGTGGATGCCATCCTGGGTTGTTGCACCGCTAGTACTGTGAGTTGCAGCACCTGTGGTTCTCTGACCAGGAATGATGCTGCTGTCTTTCACATTATAAATCACCAAGTGCTTATCTGCAGGTCTCTTACGCCAAAGGGTTTTGCTTCCTCATTCCAAAGGATTCTGTGCTGCCACTACAGGACGCAGCCAGCCTTTCCTTTCATGTTTAGGTTAGCAGTCAGGATCACTTGTATAGAACTTGACAGCTCTTCCAGATTTCCAGGAGGAGATTTCTCCTTCCCGAGACCACTGTTTGCGGTGCTGCTGTGACTTCTTCAGATGGGAAACAGCTGAAGGAAGAGCCGGTCCCGCCAGGCCAGGGTGCAGTCTGAGTCCTGCTGCGCGACAAGCTCGTCTGCTCTTCGGGGCCAGAAGCCTGGCAGTGCTCTCGCCTAGGGCGCTTTCTGGCCACGCGCTGGCCAGTGAAGGACTCCTGCCGGCCTGGAGTGAGGGGTCCGGCTCCAAAGATCTCCTCCCCGGCAAACACAGGTAGCTGAGTTTTCACTTTTGCTCTCTGCAGGAGGTTCACGAATTTCTGTTTCTGAGACTCCCGTGACAGCCGTCACGTTTATTCTTTTCTGGTCTGAGATGTTTGGCTCTGGTAGTGGGCATTTCACATTCATCCCTCCACATAGGCGCTGCCCCGTGACCTGACCCAGAACGCTGTGCTTCTTGGGTTTCGGACGAGGAATGGCCTCGGGAACTCTTCTCAGTCTGTGGAGAGGTAGAAAGGGGTTCTGTGTCTCCCCATGAGCAGTCTTTCTTGAACTTGCTTGGGATTCCTTCCATTAAAGAGGAGCAACCCACTGATTAGATTACATAAACCACGCTGCGATCCCTGCCCCCCGCAATCCACTTCCGGCCCTTGTCCTCCTGGGAGTATCGAGATGTGTGTCCAGTTTGCTGCTCGCAGTCGATTCCGTGCTGACTCTGAAATCTGCTATCTGAAATCTGTTCGTATCCTCATCCGTCAATATTTTCTCAGTGTTTAGGTCTCTTCATGTTACCCCTTATAGTGGCAGGATCCCACTGCAGACAGACCCTGTCTAAATTTGCCTCTTGATTCTTGCTCAGCCCTCCAAGTTCCAACGTGGCTGGATCTCGGGAGATGCTGACTGCTTCACTTCCTGGTGTGCCCGCTGCTTGCTGTGCCACTGTCGCTTCCCAGGAAGGATTGCGCGCCACTTTCTTGCTCAGCGCCCTAAGCTCCAGCATGGCTGGTTCTCAGGAGATGCTTACCTCTTGGGTTTTTTTGTTCACTTTTTTATGGGCAACCAAATAGTTACACATTTTACTTCTATTTTGCATATTACCCTCGCAGGTTATTTTCAGCCGTCTGTATTTTCCTATTTCTTCTGCACAGAAAGCTATTGATTTTCTACTTTGTACCCCAGAGCCCCCTTTGGGGAAGTGGAGTCTTGTAACCAGTGTCATGGGAGGGGTGGAACATCCTTGTCAGTTTCCTGATCATTGTCTTCTGTGTCTAGATAGCAGTCTTCTTTGGATGTTGTAAAAGAATAAAGATAAGGGGGCTGGGGATTTAGCTCAGTGGCATAAGTGCCTGCCTTGCAAGCAAGCAGTTGAGTTCGATCCCCGGTACCGATAAAAAGGAAAAAGACACACACACACAAAAAAAAAAGAATAAAGATAAGTGTCTGAATGTAAACTAATAAATATATCTTGGTATCATGGGCAGGATTAGGATCAGGAAGGGCTGGGAAGGGAAACAGAAGGGAAGGGATGGGAAGAAAAGACAAGGAAAGCCTGAGAACAGGAAGAGCGTATCCAAAACTCACTACAAAAGCCTTGTACGACAGCAGATGCCTCCCCACTTAAATTACCTGTCTGGGGCTCAGCGGCCTAAGCGCCAGCCTGGCAAGCGCAAGGTCATGAGTTCAATCCCTGGTACCAAAAAATAAATAAGTAAATAAGTTGTCTGTCTGGGTTTGTGTAAGAGTGAAAGGCAGATGAGCGGCCTCCTTATTTCTAGGACGCTTATTCTAGCATGTGCCATTGTCAGTTCTATCATAAAGGTACTGACAGCCAGGTGCAGTGGCACACACCTGTAATCTCACCATTCGGGAGGCTAAGGCAGGAGGGTCACCATGAGTTTGAAGCCAGCCTGTCCTACACAGTGAGACCCTGCCTCAAAACAAAACAAAAATTTAAATATGTAAATGTATGCTCTGACAGTGCAAAGAGATGAGGGCGGGGTGGGGGGGCAGTGAGAGGGCGGAGGGAGGGACGGGAGAGGGAGGGGAGGGACAGGAGAGGGAGGGACGGGAGGGAAAGAATCCATGTGTTATGTACATGTACCAGCCCTGGGATGTAATCTTTTGTACTGCAAGCATGTGGTTATAAGAATTTTAAAACTCCATATTGTAATGAAAAATCAAAAACCCTAATTCGGAAGCTGCATTTTAAGTGTTTTAATTTTAGCTTCTGCACTTGTTCCCACATTTTTCTCCTGTCACGCGCTGCCCTCCAGTTTCTCCCCACTGTCTGCAGACGAAAAGGCTGTAGACTCCGTCCCCAACGCTGACGTATATTCTCTTGAGAAAACTGAAGATGCAGAACTGCGCTTGCAGGCATGTTGAGAAGGTTTTTGTGTTCATGGCCTGAAGTGAGAGCAGCCTTCTGTCAGGGGTGACCCCGAGAAGGGAATCCGGGTCCCCACCCAGCTCACACGGACGCCGTGAGCTGAAGCATCTGGTGTTTTAAAGGGGAGAGTCTGCGGTGTCTCTGTGCCAGCCCACTGGTCTCCCCGGCCTCTGGCCACTCTGGCTGGCCCTGCCTGCCTGTCTGCCCACAGAAGGGCCGTCTCTACCCTGATGCAGAAGCAGAGTTACAGAGGACGGTACGCGCTTCCCATTAGGGAGACAGGCCTGACTTTGCTTTTTAAAGGTTTGGTTCAGAGAATCCTGAGAGGTCTTTCTGGCTACTATGAAGATTTAAAAAGCTCTGGAGTACAAGATTTTTTTTTTAGGGGCTGGGGATTTAGCTCAGCGGCATAAGCACCTGCCTTGCAAGCAGGTGGTTGTGAGTTCAATCCCTGGTACCGATAAAAAAAGAAAAAGACAAAAAAAAAAAAAATAACCCCCATTGCCAGGCATGATGGTGCATGCCTGTAATCCCAGCACTCGGGAGGCTGAGGCAGGAGAATCACTGCAAGTTCAAGACAAGCCTGGGCTACAAAGTGAGCTCAAGGCCAGCTGAACTGCATAGTGAGACCCTGTCTCAAAAAACCACAGAAATAACCCCTCACTGTTTCCTAAGGCAAGTCACACGTTTCAGTATTTGAAGGAGTCTGTTAGAGCTGCCATCCACCAAGTCAATAACTGTGACCCCTGAGTGTTTCCCCAGTTATTCTGGTTTCCTTTTTGTACCCTGCTCAAACGGTTACAGAGCTGGGATTTAGCCCATTTGACACGTGGGACTTGACATTGACATCATCCCCTCCTTAGCACAGTGGTGCATAAAACCAAAGCCCTTCCACATAAACTGTGCAAACCCTAAGTACCTAGAAAGGACAATGTGAAGAAAAACATCAAAACCAAACCAAAACACCAAAAACAAAAACCACCATCAAATCACCACAAATTCTTGGTTTTTTTCATTATAAAATACTTCCACAGACCTGTTTTGTACCGAAGGACAGTTTTGAAGACCCAAAGTTGACCAAAACCATGGCTGAGTCTGAACACAGAAATTAATAGAACCAAAGGAAGAAAGTCATTTATGGTCAGTGAATTAGACTGCATTAGTCGCTTTGCTTGGTTCAGCGGTGCAAGCAGAGATAAAGTGCCCTTCAAGGGCAAGACCATCGGGGCAAGCACAGGACAAGGGTCCTTCACACCGGTAGTGATAAAAGGATATTTTGGGGCTGGGGATTTAGCTCAGCGGCATAAGCACCTGCCTTGCAAGCAGGCGGTCATGAGTTCGATCCCCGGTACCAATAGAAAGAAAAAGAAAAAGCATATTTTTGGGAGATAATTAGCTATGCTGAACAGAATGTGCTGTGCCAATGCTGTGTCTAAGATTGGTTAGATATGCAAGTGTGCAGGTGACAGTCACCTAGCTTGAACAGCTGCACAAGGGTATCAAAGACCATGGCCAAGCATAAACTAAAAGGGCAGAAGTCCAAGAATGTATTTCACACTCAACTGAAAAAGCCAAGTCTAAAAGCAAAGCAAGACACAGGTACTACTAACCTTAAGAGAGAAACATTGTGAGTGATGAAGAGGTTTGCAGAGTGAACTCTGCTTTTGTAAACATTGAGCAGGAGCTTGCACCCTTCCCCAAAGGGCTTACGCTTTTTTTGTCTTTTTTATTTTTACGGGTACCAGGGATCGGGTGTCAGGGATGGAACTCGGCTGCCTGCTTGCAAGGCAGGCACTTATGCCGCTGAGCTAAATCCCCAGCCCCAGGGCTTACTCTTTTTTAAATCTTTTTTTTTTACTTTTTTTTTTTTATCGGTACCGGGGATCGAACTCAACACCGCCTGCTTACAAGGCAGGTGCTTATACTGCTGAGCTAAATTCCCAGCCCAAATGGCTTATTCTTGAACCTCTGCAGAAAGAGCTGACTACTCAGAAGCATCATGAAAATGAGCCAGTTAATGTTGATGAAGCTGCAAGATTAATATCTCAATTGTAATACGGTGGAGATATATTAAACTCAAAAAAATAAAACTCAAGTACTTTACAATTTTTTTTTCCCTTTTTTTGTACTGGAAATTGAACTCACAACCTCACACTTGCCAGGCAGGTGCTTGTGCCACTGAGCTAAATCCCCAGCCCAGTACTTTATAATATTTTTTTTTAAAGTTGAATGATCATTTGTTATAATCATTAAATCATGAAGCCATAGAAATATCAGTAATGGATGACATTAAATATAGCTCAAGCAGGTTTTTAAATTTGCATCTTTTTTTTTTCCGGTCTTTTTCCTTTTTATTGGTAGCAGGGATCAAACTCACGACTGCCTACGTGCAAGGCAGGCGCTTATGCCGCTGAGCTAAATCCCCAGCCCCTAAATTTGCATCTTTAACAATAAAGCTTCTCAGAACTAAAGGTGAAATTTTTGCATTTCAACATCAGTTCTTAAAATGAACCTTTGACCCATACGGTTGTCTTCAGGACGATGCTGATAGCTACATTTTACTGAAGAGCCTGTGAGTTGGTGTCTTGATATCATCCCATGCAAGCATCAGTTTAAAAATGAGTGTAGGGAGTGGGGATACAGCTCAACCGCGTAAGCGCCTGATAGCAAGCACAAGGTCCTGAGTTCAATACTCAGTATCAAAAAAAAAGTATACTAGACCAGGCGTGGTGGTGCACACTTGAATCCTAGCACTTGGGAGGCTGAGGCAGGAAGACTGCTATGAGTTCAAAGACAGCCTGAACTGTATAGTGAAGCCTTGTATCAAAAAGACAAAAAACAACAAAAAGTGAGAAATAAAGAAATGAAGTTGGGTATGGTGGCTCATGCCTGTAATCCCAGCACTCAGGAAGCTGAGGCAAGAGAATTGTTGGCAAGTTAAGACCAGTCTGGGCTACAAAGTGAGCTCGAGACTAGCCTGAACTGTGTATCGAGTACTTGTCTCAAAAAAGAAAAAAGGAAAAAAAAATAAGCATTGAAAAATAATTAAGGGCCAGGGATTCAGCTCAGTGGCATAGCACCTGCCTGGCAAGCATGAGGTCATGAGCCCAGTACTGGAAAAAATAATTAAAAAATAAATTTGAAAAATGAGCATAATAATCTGCATTTTGTAGATGTAGGAACTAAAGCATTAAAAATGAGCATTTGGTCAACTTCACATAGTAAGTGACAGATCCAGGTTTTGAACTCAGTTAAGGGACTTGGAGTTAATACATGTGATTCCACCCTCCCCCAACCCGGGTTAGTCAGAGGGACCAAGGGGGGGGGGAGCAGCATGATGTGGACATTTGTGTCTCTGCCAGGGAGAAACCTGGGTATGAATGAATGAGTGAATGATATGTGCCATGAGGCTGGAAGAATAAACAGAAATTAGATTTAAAAAGCAGGTGAGGGTGAGCAAGCGTGGGAGAAGGGCCCCAATATCTGCAAAAGCGTGAAGAAAAGCCGTGATCTAGGAAAACGTCCACACCATGGAGTGCTGTGGGGAGTGTGGCAGCTTCTACCCTGGTTAATGTCTTCTGTCTTAAATGGTCTTTACATCATCCCCACCATCTCATCACCAGGTAGAGTCTGATTTAAATACCTGTGACTGTAAGTGGGCTACAACTCTTTGTTTTTTGAGACAGGGTCTTGCGTTGCAGTGCAGGTTGGCCTTAAACTATGTATCCCAGGCTGGCCTTGAATTTCCAGGGATCCTCCTGCCTCTGCTTCCTGCCTGCTGAGATTATGGGCATACCCACCACGCCCTGCTGGTGGATCATTTGTAACATCAAATGATGAAAGTGACACCATGTGATTTCTGTGACCGAGTCACAAAGTGTGATACAGCTTCTTCATTGTTAGCTGGGACACTGAATTTGGGGTCTTAAGCTCCATGACCTTGACGGTGTCATGCTGTGAGGAAGTGCAAGACGTGGAAAGGCACTTGCAGGTTTTCTAAATGACAGTCCTGAATGGAGTCCCAGATGAGAGCCAGCATCGATCATTAAACACATGCTGGGAGACATTTACAGATTCCAGTCTCCATCCACTGTAGGTCTTCCCAGCGGAGACCCTGGACATCAGATGGCACAAACAACTACCTTTGCTACACATCCACGGAGTTGCTGAATAGTTGTTTTATGCCTCTAAGTTTAGGGATGGCTTGTTATGTAGCTGTAGTAACAGGAGCATGTAAGTTATATCGTATTGTATTCTAAACTCCAAAGCTGACTTGTCAAACCCTAGATCCTGCTACTCTGCTGCCAGACCCGGGGGCCCCTCTACCACATT